TAAGTTAATAAGTTAAAATATAAAATAAAAATGGAAATAAAATGTGTTCAATTTTATCTTGTGTCAAATATCACAGTGTGTTTTTCTTTTCTTATAAAAATAACAATATTGATAAAAAAAATGAAATTGTTTTTGACATGTTAATCTTTCAATACAAACACGAATGTACAATTCCAAACAATATGTAACACTAATGTTCATTATAGGATCCCTTTCAGATTTTAACATTTTCAAAAAGTTGGTTTGAATTATCCCATACTAGCTTGGGAACCCAGCGTGGCCCAGAAGAGTCATATTTAGTCCCACCGTTTACCCGCCTCAACTTAGAATCTCAAACATGGTCTCTCGAGTTACCCAATCAAAATTTGAGGCAAATCGGTCCAGGGATTCCTGAGTTATGATCGGACAAACAAACAAACAGACAGACAAACAGAGATACATCTGTATTTATATAGATATTGGTTTTTCCAGAAAATAATGAAAGCAACAAAAATTTACTGATAAATCTTTTAAATGTTGAAATTTGTATAAGTATATATTTCAGGCATAGTATAGATGTGAGTAGTTTTGATGTGACTACCAGAACCTCCTGGATTCTAGCTGTCCTACAATCCCTCTTCTCCCTCCTAGCAACCTTCCAGCATGTTTTTAGGCCTCTACTTTGCTTTGTCCTGGATATAGATCTACGGAAGGATTTTGTTGTTCGTCTCAGCGGACGATCTAAAAACGTCTACCAGTCCGTACAGCAGTCCAGTGTTGTATAATTCAATTCTCTTCTGACGAAGATAAGAGGAATTCGTCCATGAACATACAAGGTGTCCCATTAAACATGGGAACTAAGTGACGACTTTTAAATCGTCTTCGATCCATGCGGAATTTTTTCATGAACACAATTATTGTAGTATTCCAGTTTAAACACATCTCATATCGAAAACACCTGGTCTTGAGATTTTCAAAGTTTGGTCTACTATTTTTGTATATTCGAAATTGGCGGAGATATAACAAACTATTTGCAAATTTCAATTTATTTAATAAATCCAATTTGTCTTAATATCTAACATATTCTTCATTTTAAGACACGAGATACAAAAAGCTTGAAAGACGTACAGCTTCGTTTTTATATTTTCTTTAACTATGCATTAATTATCAGAAATCTAAGACGACTTTCAAGTCGTCTTTTAATTCCCATGTTTATAGGAACACCTTGTAAATTGTTGACGGTTCCTAGATGGTCACTGTAAGAGTCCTATTGCTTAAATTGTAAACTAAGGACATTTTTCCCGGGGGGGGGGAAGTTGTGCCAACCCCCCAGTTTCTGCATGTTCTTTGAACCCCCCCCCCCATTTTAGTGCAATTTAGAAATTAACACATATGAAACATATAGAGCCCTAATTAATACATTTTTTATCATTCTCCTTCTCCTGAAAGAGTAAAACCATGAACCTTAAAAGATTTCGGAGTGCTCCAAGTTGCTTGTATATAAGCAATTTTTTTGGAGATTTTACTTGTTTTTTGTTCTTAAATTTCAAAATCAGCGTACCGATCTCAAAACGTATTATTGGAAAGATATAAATTTAGAAGAATTGTAAAAAGTATTTATTATTCAACGATCTGATCGAGTGACGAATCTTAAATTTAAATGTTAAAATCGGTTGAATAATATTGTATTTTGTTAGCTTTAAATGTCATGCTTTGATTTTATTCAATTTCTCAAAAATTACAAATCCAAACTATTTTTTGCAATATCAAAAATATGACAAAAATTATAAAGGAACTGAGTTTTTGTCACAAACTCTACTTCTCTAATCTCTATATCTTTGTTACCCAATGTTGTAAACCTTTGATATTTCAAACAATGAATATTGTTAGACCAAATAATCCAAGTTTGAAATATCAAGGGTTTACATCATCAGATTATAAAGATATAGGGATTAGAAAATTTGAGTTTGTGACAAAAACTCAGTTCCTTTCAAACATTTAGTTCTAATATTATCTAGATAAAATTGATCGATATTGTTGGTAAAATTGTTTACAATTATATTTTGTGATATAAAATGATCTCGCTTGAATCTACAGATAAAGATCTTAAATGCCATCTCTCATGCTCTCTGTGGCCCACTGTACTGAGCATAATCATAAAAATCTATAAAATAAATATATAAAATGTTTTGTTCTAAATATAAAAAAAATTTATGTAGCAGACTTGTAGTAAATAAAACCATTGGTGTGTACTGAACTATGATTTATGTAGAACTTTTTAAATTTTCAAAAAAAAGTCATCTTTGACGCGATTTAAAAAAAAATAGAAAAAAACATCCGAACCTTCCATGTAGATTCACATTTTTTTTTCGCTTTTAGGAAATTTTTAAGATCTGATAAAAATGTTTTTGTTTAGGAAATGGGAAATTTTAAAATTTCAACTATATAGTTGTTGTAAGAAAAATATTTGTAAATTTTATTTATGTTAAGTTTTATGGAAAACTTGAAAATATATGTTGTAAAAACAATTCTTTTCGTTTTATTCTTAAAGTTGCCTATAGGGAGAAAACATTTAAGCTTTAGACTTCAGAATGATTCACGTCCTACAGTTAAACCCTGAACTTCGGAGACATCGACAGAATTAATAAAATGTGGTTTTCTAGTGAAATGCTCCAGATATTTAGCTTTTCAATTGAATAATTGATTTAATTTTTATAATTAATTTATTTTTATAATTGCTGAGATTTAGGTATGAACGTATAAAACCCATTGAAAAATTGACAAATTCATCCTAAGGTCAAAAAATATTTCTAAGACATGTTCACTATCAATTTAGATAATTATTCTATTTTAGTTAAGGTTTCATATGAAAACTGCAAGTTTTTAAAATAATTTCGGCACTTTTAGCCTCACCATTTTGATTGTTAAACGGAATTTTTGTTTAACTAAGTTAATAAGTTAAAATATATTTTAGAGTTATTTTATTTTCTGTTAAAAATGTGAAAGTTTCACTTTAAGGGTGTTCATTACCTTTCTTAATTTTTTTAGAACGATTTTTTACATTGTTCATTGGTAAAAGTTAAAGGTACCTATAAAATGAAATATTTCACCTAATTTTGATCGACATTTGATAAACGGTAGAATATTCAATAAAATTGTCTCAGGTTGTTTTATCCTGTAAATTATTTTCAATGATTTACAACATCCAATAAATTCCATAAAATATTGATTTATTACTGAGAGAAACCAGATATATTCCACAAATGTTGGAAAATCAGAATACAGAGGTTTACATTTTCAGACTGTTAACAAATTTTAATGAAAAGAAAAAATGAAAAATGATTCTGTCAACGTAATATACAGGGCGCCGTTAAAAATTTAAAATTCACTCTGTAAAGAGATTTTATCAAAAATTTGTGACATTTGTTGGAAAAATTAGTCAGATAAAATTAGACTTTACATTTTTCAATGAATTTACTGCTAAAGTTATTTATCTATAAAGTAAAAATTAAACCTAAAAACCCATGGAAAAAACTGAACAGGTTTTTGAAATTGCCTCTCATTATAAGATACCATCATACCGTGTATATAAAAAATGAAGAAATATATTCCAATCTCAAAAGTTGTAGATTGCTGTAAATAAATAAAGGATTATTTTCGCAAAAAAAGTTTGCTCTCTTGGTTTCATGATAACGTAAACACTTTAAATTTTAGATGGCAAGCATAACATCACATTAAAGGAAATTTTTATTTGTAAATAGTAATACACATGTACTTTCTAAAATCTTAAAGTTCAGATTTAAGTTTGATCAGTTCGCAATAAAAGTTTAAAAGTTTTAAGATTTTGAAAGGAACGAAACGGAATTGTTTCATTTTTCTTAAATTTATGTTTTTGTTTTTCGGGACTGAGTATCTGCATGTGAGACCTGCGGGCAAAACAGTTCTGGAATGTGCAAATCATAATGAATAGTTGGAAATAAATAATACAGTATTGTGGCCCATTACTCCTTAGACTAACAGTGCAAAAAGAATTGCAAACTTAATAGTTTTGAGGTCTGAATATAGTTTCTTGAATTAGAAAAATATTAATTAAAAAGATAAATTAGATGATTTGTAAAAAACTTCTGCTAATTAAATTTTGCAAACTAACGGAGGAGACCTCTCCCGAGTTTTGCAACATTTCTGCAATTTAGAGGTTGGTGACCTTTCCCGGGCCGGCCCGTCCCCCCTCCCCCCTTACTGGTGCAGAGGGATGCAGTAAATCCATGCCATTCCCCCCTTGAATGAGGCCTATAACCCCGCTCTATAGGCCCTCCACTCTTCTCCTAAATAACGCAAGCATGCGTTCTGCGTACTTTAAGAGTGCATGCGCGCCAGTTCAGATTATTGGTTTCAGATTGAAAAGAATTAAAGGGACTGTACTATGTAATGTAATTTTAAAGACAATGTATACTATGTAACGTAATTTTAAAGGGACTCTTCGATCAAACTTCGTTTAGATAACCTTCATCATCTGAAAAATAAAAGTAAGGAATTGAAAATAACTTTCTTAAATGTTNTAACGCAAGCATGCGTTCTGCGTACTTTAAGAGTGCATGCGCGCCAGTTCAAATTAAAAAGATTTAAAGGAACTTTAAACAAACCAAAAAACGAACTAAAAAACGAACCAAAAAAGTAAAAAAAATGATCGTTTATTTGGTTCGTTCATGCAAATACCTTCTCTCAGGGTGAAAATTATACAATAGTGTAAGATGAGCAAATATTTAGAAAAAACAGTTTTGAAATTTGTAAAACTTAAAATATTTTGTTGGACCTTTTAAAAATCTGAAAAGTCTTAAAAAACGAACGATATTCAAATGCCTAATCGTTTTGCTAAACCTTTTTCTTGAAATTTTTCTTTATTCTGTTTCGCGAAAAAATGCAAAAATAAAAAAAAATCCAAAGTTTTTTTTTGCCCAGGCAAGTTTTTTAATTGTTGCAGCTACAAAACTTTTGGTTTTCCGGAATTTATTCGCAAAATTATTTTCCGCGAAATCGCGAAAAAATGCAAAATGTATATATATATACATATATATTCTACATAAAACTTCTGAAATCCATAAAATGAAAAAAGTCATAGAAATATTAATTGTCTCGTGACCTCGTCGTAGGTTTTAGATTTTTCATACACCAGATTTGCAAGTTTTTTAATTGTTGCAGCTACAAAACTTTTGGTTTTCCGGAATTTATTCGCAAAATTATTTTCCGCGAAATCGCGAAAAAATGCAAAATGTATATATATATACATATATATTCTACATAAAACTTCTGAAATCCATAAAATGAAAAAAGTCATAGAAATATTAATTGTCTCGTGACCTCGTCGTAGGTTTTAGATTTTTCATACACCAGATTTGCAATAAAATTAATTTTAAAAATTATTAGATAAAAAACGAAATAAAAAATCTAATTCATTGAAGTTTAAGAACGGCACATTTTGGTTTTAATTGAATTGAATTCTACTATTTCTTAATTCTAATTAGATATATGTTCAAATAGTATAGAAATGAATAAACAATGTTTGAAGGTCGTATTTGTCGATCTGTTAACTGCCATTCTTGACAGAAATTTTCCTGAAAGAAATATTCTAATCAGAGAAACCTTTTGAAACAGTTCGTTCCAAATTTATGAAAGAGGACTTATGAGCGGGATCCTTTGTTCAGAGAGTGCCTTTGAAAGATGTTATGAAATTTTGCCGGTCCTAAATTTATTTATGTAAATCTATTTCTCTCTTCATTTTGAGAATTTGAGATACTTCGAAAGAAATACTAATTCTTTAGCATATCAGTGACAAAATAAACATAGAACTCAATGATTCATCACCTAAATTCCGTCCTCCTCTTGCAAACGCTTTTTAGATACTGACAATGTGCAGTTTATTTCTTTTCCCACTGAATTGATTGCGAAGTCAAGTTTAGCTAAAGAATTCGTATATTTTTAAAATCTTTTAATTTTGTGAAAGTTAACATTTTAACTTTAAAGGCCGCCGACAAGACAAAACGTTGAAGTTTACTTGATTTAATGCGGTATCCACTTCCAAAGACTTTTATTTGATATCTTTCTTTTTATAGTAGACAATTGCATATTTTCAATTGTGGATTTCAATATGCAATACTTAATGGATAGAAAAACTTTTTAACAAAGATGAAAGATGTGACTGAAATTGAACTTGTTTTATTTAATTTTGGAAGGCGCACAGACGCACGGAAAAAATGACATATAACCCAAATTTTGATTTTGGGGCTATTTACATCTATAGCCTCGAACACTAAACTAACACTGATGCATCTATTCTTGTTTACAAATTCCGCCCAGAAAGAACTGGTTTCAATATGTACGCAGAGTACACGCAACTGCAATTAACATTCCTTGCATTACATTCTTGATGACTAGTAAGTATTATAGTGTATGTTGCAAATATGAATGAATTACCTTGTAAATCAATATGTGGGTGTATTTAAAAGCTAAATTTAACGTACTATAAAGTTTATTAACCTATGACTTGGAATTTGTACATTCTAACGTGAATTTGTACTCACAATCCCTATAGGCACCTGCTAAGCAGAAGTACAAACATCTAATATTAATGATAATATTAATGATCTATATTAAAACAGGTGTATTTATAATATTGGCCGTGAAAATAAAAGATTTTTGATATTTATAGGAAATTCTTATCATATTGATGGTTGTGTTGGTGAAAGGTTGTTGATTATAAAAAATTAACATTATGTAGATTATGTTAGGTATGATATATTGGAGGAAGAGATTAAGATATACAAGGGCATATACAGAAATAAATCTGGGGGGGCAAAATTTGCGGAAAGCGCAAAATCCCCCACCCCTAGAAGCTCCTAGGGGGGGGGGGGCAAAATTTGAACTGTAAATTCAAAACATTTGGCTTCTTGGATATCAGGCATAAGCATAAGATGCTTTAAAGGTACACATACAGTCCTATTACCTTGCAATTATCTCTTCTTCAAACAAAACTAGAAGAAAAAAGTATTGTTTCTAAATAATTGACATTTCATTATAATGTTTTGTTATTAATAATTAGAATTTAAACTAGATATAGTAAAAGAAATTTTTGAAAATGAAAAACTCAACTTAAACTTGAATCCTATAGATGAAAAAAGGAGAGAGGTCCAGAAAATAATTAGACTTGAAAAAGTAGGAGTTCAATTGTAATTTATATAATAAAGCTCTTCGTTCATTTAAATGTTTGCTATGGCTGGCCAATATTTTTATGTCTATTTGAATTATTTTTATGTTCATTTCAACTATTTTTATGTTCATTTTAACTATTTTTATGTCCATTTTGAACTATTTTTTTGTCCATTTGAACTATTTTTATGTTCATTTGAACTATTTTTATGTTCATTTGAATTATTTTTATGTCCATTAGAACTATTTTTTTGTCCATTTTAACTATTTTTTTTGTTCATTTAAACTATTTTTTGTTCATTTGAACTATGTTTTTGTTCATTTGAACTATTTTTATTTTTATTTCAACTATTTTTATGTCCATTTCAACTATTGTTTTGTTCATTTCAACTATTTTTATGTCCATTTCAACTATTTTTTATGTTCATTTGAACTATTTTTTGTTTATTTCATATATGATATTAACAGTTCAAATAAACAATAATTCAAATGAACTGAAAATAGTTCAGATGAGCATTAAATAAACTCATTTGAACTATTGTTCATTTTAACTATTCACGTGGTACCACGTGCAGTAGTTCAAACGAACAATAGTTCAAACGGCAGTAGTTCAAATGGGATAGCATTGTAAATTTTACTGTATAGGTTGAAGACGATTCGGTAAACCCTTCGGATGATCCTATAGATGATTCAAGACCTGAAGATTGAAGATATAGAAGCAAGATTCAACCTGATTATATTTGATCTTGTTTAATTGTCAAAGTAAATATTTACTCAAAAAATCTTCAAAACTATTTAAATGAAAATTCATTCTTAAAACTTAAATGTAAAACTTTTGAGTTTACTGTCTGAAATCATAAACATTTTATATTCAGAACCATGAATTTTATATGGATTTTATCTAAAAGATACTTAGCCAATATTTAAACAATATTTATCCTATATTTAAAAAACTTTCATTAAAGAAAATATTAATTTCTGAAATCTTTTTCAGAAGGAATGAGAAAGTTTAAAGCGCGTAGTTGGACTACAAGTATGTGATTAGGATGTATAAACCTATCACAATCTTCGTACCTGGAATATATATAGGAATGAGTTTATAAGCTGTAAAAATTGTACATTTGTAAAAAATGCATTTAAAAAGATTTTAATACAAACCCTTTTTAACAGATCTAAGTAGAGGCTGCGTTTCTGCCGAAACTTGGATTAAATAGGTATTAAATCTAAAATGTATTTTCTAATTATGCATACAAAAATACACCACGGTTTTCTATAAGTAACTTCTATAGAAAACTGAAACCAGTGCTGGAAACCTACCCTTTAGTACAGTGTAAACTGCTGTGCTCAACCTGGACTTTGTCAAGCCTTCAAGTCCCGAAAGGTAGATCAATTTCACATAATAAAGAACACTGAACAATTTGTGAAAATTAATGTTATTGAAATCTAACAATTCAATAATAAATAAATAACGTTGTTATTTAATTAGAACTCTTGGTGTGGAGTTTGAGAATCTCTGTAGGTCGATGTAAACTAAAATGGTCCTACAGGTGAAACAGTTATAGTTACGCCTCTGCTTCAATACAGATCTCAGACTTCTCGAGGAAAAGTAGACGCATGTCTCACGTGGTAAAAATATTTAACTTTTTCCTATTTTTTCTTCTTTCAAACCTTAAAAGTTAAATTCTACGAAAAATATGCAGTATGCAGTATGCGTGCTGAAATGGTTTTGATAAAAAAAATTAAATTTTTAAATTTTGGTTTATTATGAAAAATTATATCACATTAAATAATGTTCTTACAACATGAAACGAGCACAGCTGTCACGTGCAGTTTTACAGGAATAAGGTTTAGTTCTAACTAAGTCTTAATACGGGAATAAAATACAAGGTGTGAATAAACAAAAACCAAGAAAATCGAAATTACAAATCTCTTTAACTCAGCTGTTTCAGAAAAAGGCAACAAATGATCTTAAAGATAACAGCTGATCTTGCAGACAACAGCTGATCTTGAAGACAACAGCTGATCTTTCAGAAATCAGGTTATCTTAAAAACATCAACTGAGCTTGAAGAAATTAGCTGATCTTGAAAACATTAGATGATCTTGAAGAAATCAGCTGATTAGTTGAGATGGAATCCCTTCTCCATAGTTGCGGCCATTAATCGTTCCTTCAGCACTTCTTCACTCGAATAGTCAGGAAGCTGAAAAAATTGTAAAAAATAACGAAACCATAAAATTACAATTTAGGCGAAACAATACGCAATAAAAAAACAATTTATCGTTCTTAATTATTTATAATATTTTCAAAAATACAAGAATATCCCAAATTTTTCTAGATAAGGAACAAAATTGGCCAGAATCTAAATATACTCAACTTCGTGTAAACATTATTTTCTTTATTTCCCACTTTAAAAAATGCAAAATATATAAAAAAAACTATGTACAAATTTACCTTTAGATAATGAACGCAGGTATTTACAGAGGGAAAACTTCCATCCCCTGCATCTACTTTCCGAACCACAGTTAACCTAGACAATGAACAATAAATCAATCAGAGTTAAAGAGACTTACTACTAGCCACATGAATTTAATGATTCAGGAAAGAGATAGCTTTGTGATAGGTCCCGTAAAGTAAATGTTTAAGTTGCTATTTTAATTGTGATTTTGATATTTTTCAGCTTAGACCTATCACGATGGTACACTCAACATTCTGCCAGATAGCCAATCATAGCTTCTAACCATGTAATTTAAAGGAATTGTCCCAAATATGAAATGTCCTATAGAAGGCATTATCGTATCTATATAATGTTCTTTGCAAAATTTAATCAAGAACATGATCGTAGTTGCACCACAAGGAAGCAAATTGAAAAACAAGAAGTGAAGTGAAAAAAATGATGTAAAACAAGAACTGTGACAGGGTGTGTGCAGACGTCTGAGCACCCTGTTTAATTGTTACGACCATCAACTACTTTATTATATAAAAAAAACAATTTAAAAAAAAGTATAATGTCCTTCAAAGTCATGTTTTCTAAACCAATGTCCTATCTGTAAAATATCCTATTTAATTCATGTTTCTCTTTATGTCTACTCTATATATGGTTAACCTAGGATGAAGGTTTGCCAGGCCTCCTGGTGGAAGGGAGGAGCACCCTGTAGTAAACTGTAGGAACGCCTTCCTCTCCTCACTGTTCATATCCACCAACACATTCATAAACCTTAATAATAATAATAAAAAAGATGAAAAATTGAACAAAATGGACAAAATAAACAATATGAACAATATGAACAAATTAAAATTCGGTGTTGCTGATCCAAACCTCCTAGATTTCCTAGATTAAATAAAGTAGGCGTTAGTTCCACAAATATATTTCGGTCTGGGTTGACCCAATTCAGTTCTTGAGATTTGTTTCTCTCATGAAAATTCAAAACGAATAAAAAAGATGAACAATATTTTATTTCACATGGATAAAACAGCTCACCCCGGACTTACCAGAGTGAGCAGCATTAGGTTTCTTATATTTGAAATCAAACGTGTTTTGGTCTATTATTCGACAATCCTAAACTTACGGATTTGTTAATTCTATACCTTTTCATACAAAATGTATATGCCGACAAAAAAGTATTAAAGAAAAACCGCTAAAAAATTATGTTTATTTGGTCAACATGTTCTCAAAAGTCACAGCTTTCTGAAATATTGACAGAACCGTTAAATCCACGTGAGATCAGCTTAAGTAATGCAAATCTACAGAAATTGCATACCTACATAAGTTTGGCAAATGAACAGTTTGTTTGAAATCTTTATACTAATGATACTATACTACTGCTACTATTTCTAATAATAATACTAATAATAATACTAATAATAATGATAATCTGGTAGGTTTAAAAATAAGTCTGAACTAAGCAGAGAATGGAATTGCCAAGGCCAGCAAAAACTTGACTCAGAATCATTTATATTCTAGCTTGAGTACATCAAATTATATCAGGTAAATGTAACTTAAAAATAAAATTTTATTCAGACTTGAATGCAACTGATTATCTATCGAAATATTGATCTAAAATACTTAAATTCTTGGATTGTTTGAAAAAAAGTCAAATTAGAGCTTTCAAACATTCATTGCTATGAAATACATATTTTGTATTTGATGCATCCTTAATTTTAGACGAGTGTAATAAAGTACATCTTCTCTAGTATTGTACTATTACCTAATAAATTCTGGTGATCCGTACCCTGGTTTAGTTTCAGTGTACTTGAGTACACCTTCTCTCTCTAAAATTGTACTATTACCTAAAAAATCCTGGTGATCCGTTCTGTACCCTAGTTTAAGTTTAATGTACAGAGTACATGTTCTCTAGTAGTGTATTATTACCTAATAAATCCTGGTGAATCCTTAGTGTACCCTAGTTTAGGTTCAGTGTACTAGAGTACATGTTCTCTAGTAATGTACTATTACCTAATAAATCCTGGTGAATCCTTAGTGTACCCCAGTTTAGGTTCAGTGTACTTGAGTACATCTTCTCTTGTGAATACTGGGGACTGGTCTCCACAAATCATGGTTCGAACCTAAGAAATATTATTTTTGAAACTCAAAGAAACAATAATGTTGTCATCTGTTACTGTAATTTCAACCAGTGCTTAGGATCCATTTAATTTTGATGCGGATCCAGATTCTGGATCCCACTGGGAAAAAAATGGATCCGGATCCAGGTCATGAACATTTCTTTAAGATCTACTGATTTTTCAACAAATCAGAATTGTCAAATTATTTTTCTTCTTTTTTTTTGCTTATTTTTATGCTAGAACTTGATGAACCATTCAGAGATCAGGAAATTTTTTTAATTCCCTTTTTTCAACAGTTTTGGAGTTTGAGTACATTTCTTTTTTGACAGTTTTCGGTTAATATTTTGCCACATGGATCCGGATCCCTGGATCTGCATATATTTGCAGACCCGGATCCAGGAAGCTAAAATCTGGCGGATCCAACGGATCCGACACTGATTTCAACAGACCCCCGAATTTAAAGAGCTGCATGTCCTATTAATGCAGGGACCCGCTACACCTTAATCTAAGCAGTTAACACCAATCAGAAAATATCCTCGTTTTTCTTTCTCTAAAGGGACTGTAAAGGAAAAAGGAAGGGGGTATAGGCTGAAACCTAAGCATTTAAGGAGTTGATCGAGACCCATAAGAGTTCTTTATAATGTTCCTGTCTCGAGAAATTGATATAAAACTGTGTAAAATTCATACGAAAATTTCTGTAAAGTCATAACCAGTAAGACCCGGATATTAATTGCGAGCTAATCAGACGACTTACATATATATCTTTGGTGATATAAAACTAACAATAAAGGCAGACCACATTTTGGAATTGGGAGGACTAGGACTATTTGCAATTATCGTTTCATTAATATTTGTAAAATTAGATTGTGAAGTCGTCTGATTAATTATTAATTCCGGGTCTTTCTGATTATGACTTTATATAAATTATTGTATAAAATGGCAGGTTTAATCAGATCATATTCAGCCAATATGGAACCAATCAGAAAACGACGATATCCCAGAGGAGCCTGAGAAACTTAGGTTTGCTCCTATTATTATTTAAATTTAATATTTTTACATCTTTATTAGAAATAATTGATAATATTTATACGTCCGTATCACGTAACCAGAACTCCCACCAATGGCAGTGCAGTATTATTGTCACGTGTCTCCGTCTGTATTTCATTTTTCCTTTACAGTCCCTTTAAACGTGCTGAATTTAGTACATTTCATTCCTTGTTTCTGACGCATTAAACCACAGTTAAAAATTATCATTATTTAAGATAGTAAAACAAGTGTATTATTGCTTAGACTAAGGTTTGCAAGGGTACCGTTGTGAATCATGTATGCCCACTTTAAATTTAGTCACTTGCAATTTAATAAAAAATGTGAATTTTACAAAGCAAAAAATATTCTTTGTTTTTGCAAAATACGTCTTTTATCCAGAATGATGATAAGGCAGAGTTGAAATATTATATAATCAGTTGGGTAAAAATGTGCAATAAAAACATTTTTTTTTCGCAGAATTTAGTAAAACTGCAATGTCAATCTTATTCAACAGTTTAGAACTATTAAACAAAAATAATAATGTTTTGAAGTTTTGTAGAAATCCCAGCGGAAATTTCTTAATCTGGACTAGCTCAGCAGTTTAAAAAAATGCTGGGAACGTGAGAAAGTGTTTGAGAACAAAAAATATACAAGTTACGGATTTTAATTGAAACTTAAAAATGAGATGAAATTGAACTAGGTTTTGTAAACTCCAAATAAAAACTAAATGAAGAGGGTTTAAAAAAAAATCAAATCAGACTTGAATGGATGTCTTACTTTCCACTCTCCAAACTTGAAGTGAATTTACTAAATTAAGATTTAAGCGAGTTTCATCTTTTTAGATTTGTAATATTAAAATTGATTCCAGGATTACAGACAGATAAAACTAAATGATCGTGCAAAGGCACAAGACTTGAACTTTCAACCTTTACTAGAAAAAGGGATTGAATTAACGAGAATCGATTTAAGTCGGTTAAACCATTTCAAAAGTTTCCAGAAAGGAAGTCTTTTAATTTTTCGAGGTTAAAAAATTCCTAATATAATAGTCACCAATATACAAAATAAATGTTTATTGAAAAGATTAAACAAAGACGACCTTTATTCTGCTTTAAACTGGTTAACACTCTATTAAAACTGTATTTAATGTTAGTATTTGTTTATAGATTATTATTACCTCATTAGGACTGAATGATCCCAGCTTTTCCATTGGAAATACGGTACAAAACCTAGAATAAATCACGATTAAAATAATTAAACTAATTTGAAAATAGGATTTTGTGAAATTTTGCACAAAATTATCATTAACAATCATTTATAACACTATAAATCATTTATCAGACAAAAAAAGTCAATGACGTAATTTTTCTCAAAAGATTGATTGCGTGAAAATAGGAAATAAAATTGTGGCTGTGTCAGTGTATATAGAAGTCGAGGTAGTGGGGGCTTAACGGCGTAAACTTTCTCCACTCGCGCACAACAGCAACATAGTACGATGCACCAGCTAACCATGTGATTATCAAATAACTTATCCCTGCTCTGAATGCCTCCAGCTGTCTGGATATCCCTCTATTAAATAAATACACTAACCCTGCTCTGAATGCCTCCAGCTGCCTGGATATCCCTCTATTAAATAAATAAACTAACCCTGCTCTGAATGCCTCCAACTGCTGGATATCCCTCTATTAAATAAATAAACTAACCCTGCTCTGAATGCCTCCAGCTGTCTGGATATCCCTCTATTAAATAAATAAACTAACCCTGCTCTGAATACCTCCAGCTGTCTGGATATCCCTCTATTAAATAAATAAACTAACCCTGCTCTGAATGCCTCCAGCTGTCTGGATATCCCTCTATTAAATAAATAAACTAACCCTGCTCTGAATGCCTCCAGCTGCCTGGATATCCCTCTATGAAAACACCAGTCTAGAGTTCTGTCAATAAACTCATCAAGGTTATGTATAGTAACCTCCTCCTCGTCTCCTCCACTCTTTAGTTCAACATCCTAGAACACAATAAATTACTAACAATGTTGTAAATATAATGTGTTTAATAAAAATTTTTTCATTTTTTATTTCTCTGGAAAACACGCAAAATATAAAAAAGGTTTTTTTCATTTGTTGAAAATAAGTTTTCACTCAAGAACTATTTTCTTAATGTTAAATTAAAGAAAGTTTCGGATCAAATGACAGCGTAGAAATTGGTTCTATGAAAAATGCCACTAAGTTTATATATTTATTGCAGAGGCCGAACCTTCAGGTCTTGTTAATGTTAACAATAACTGTAATTGTAGCAATATATCAACATATTTCCTCAGCTTTCCTAATACATCACGTTGTAATAAATACTCCTCAGATTTAGCAATATATCCGAACCTATTTTGTACTCCATGAGACACAACCTAATGTTTATATTTATGTAAAAATGTCTCCCTTAGGGTGTTATAGGACAGTACACAATTGTAATAACAAAACAAACAAACTTTCAAATCAAATCTAAAGGTTTCCCAACAGCATCCATGTTGCCGAACAATTTATTAAGAAGTCTTTTTTTTAGTTAGGATGAATCTGAAATTCAGCTTTTTAGCGGATATACCTTGAATCCATAAACTCCACTGGAAGGACTATAAGTGAAGGTGAGTCCAAGATCCTCTATGTTGGCGCCATCAAGAGTTAAACTGTTAATCTAAAAAACAACAATATGTTTATTAGCTGTCTTCAGAACTGCATATTAGTCTTAAATGATTATTTGCATTAAAACATGTTGCTTAAAAATTGTATTTTGTAAAAATATGAAAATAAAAATATGTTAAAAAACATGTTATCGAAAACAAAATGAAACATTAAAGAATGTTTCAATTTTCAAAAAGACTAAAAATAAAAGATAAAGAACGTTTTATGAAAACAAAATAATTTTCATTTGAAATTATAAAAACAAGGTTTATACAAACAGATCTCAAAGTAAAAAGTAAAAGAATGTTTTATGAAAATAAAATTATTTCCATTTGAAATTATGTTAGATTAAAACAAGGTTAAAAAAAAACAGATTTCAAAGTTAGTACAAACTTCGCTAAAACAAAATTTATCCGGTTGGGGTTGTGAAATCATTTCTCCACCAACTTGTTTAAAAAACATAATTTAAATTTTTTTTAAATTTAAACAATTTTCTAAAATTAATTAGATGATAGTAGATGCAAGTATTTTGACATTTATATATGGCTAGTTCTCCATTTTCTTCTTGTTCATGGATCTTCCATCATGTTCGGCTAATTTTTTTTGTTTGACATCCTAGCATATGCCAGCTACTAGCTTCGGAACCCGTAAAGAGGCCCCTACTTGCCTACTTTTCTGGACTCTGTATTGTTCAATCATTTGCACATGTTGTTAAGTCAGCACTCTATTTTCTGGCTTTAATTCAAGATTTTTATCGCTTTATAAATAATTTTAAGGACTTACTCCTAAAATTTATTACAAACTATTACTAAGAAGTAAATAGCTAATAGGACTCAGTCCTAAAATTATTTAAAATAGAGGCAGCAGTACCCAGAAATACTTGAAAAATGTGAATCAATGGTGACAAAATAGATTTTTAAAGAAGATCAAAACAGGGACATGCACTAGGGGGAGGGGGGCATTCGTCCATCTGCTCAAACCTACCTTCTCCACCTTCTCATCATCAGATAGTTCCTGATCCGCCAGAATCTGAAGTTTAGTTGAGTTGAGTTGGTGAAGCTGTTGTAGGACTCTACCCCGGCCTGGATCAACATATTCTAGATCCTCGAGTTCAAGTAAACCAAACCACCAGCTCTTCTCATTTCCAGACCAGATCTCACTCTCCTGGAGTACAATTAATCAATCAATCAATCAATCAACCAATTTAAATCAATTTAAATCAATTTAAATCAATTTAAATCAATTTTTAAATCAATTTAAATCAATTTTTAAATCAATTTTTAAATCAATTTAAATCAATTTAAATCAATCAAATCAATCAACCACCAAAAAAAGTAGAAGAAATAATCATATCAATGAAATTCAATTAAATCAATCAATCAGTTATAATTAAAATGAATACAATTAAATTAGATTAATGAAAACAATGAAAACATCAAATCAATGGGATTTATCAAATCAAACCAAATCAAATCATCGTAATAATTAAATCAATCAACCAATCAATTAATTTATCAACAAGTAGTAAAACCCAAATCAAATCAGATTTCTTAATACTTCCACAAAAAAAAATTCAAGGAAAAATCTATCCTATCAATTCGAAACAATTATATCAAATGATTTAGTTCTAAAATAAACTGCTGAAACATAATAATAATAAAACTGCTGGAACATAATAATAATAAAACTGCTGGAACATAATTATAATTATACTGTTTCTACCTCTGATACAACTGAAAGTGAACTGCTTGTCATAATATCTTCTGCTAGTTCCGGACTATAGTTTCCAGAATACAGAACACTCATCTCCTTCATATCTGAACTCACCTCACCCTGGTAATATATTTAGAATATTCATACAGTAACAATTATATCAATCAATATCAACAAAAGATCAAAATAATAATAATAATTCGTGTCAGTTGAAATTCGAACATTAGCATGCAAATTGTTATGTAAGAGGGGTTAATTTTTATAAGTTTAATTAGGAATGGATTTTAATATAAAAACAGCAGAAAATCCGAAAATTAAAGTTCCCTGTGCAAATCGTTTGCTGTAACATTTTAATTTAAAAAATATATATAACCGAATTTTTCCTCACAAAATAGGCCATAATGAAGCCAAAAAATCCAGGACAGTAATCAGCGCTTTGAGACGCATATTGCATATACCAATATCGAAATGTTGATATTTTTTTTTAATGGATTTGTAACACCCCCTCCCCCCCTTCCTAAAGTCATTTTCGCATGGCAATTAGACATTACATAATTTTTGAGATTTTCAATACCAATAAAATTCCTTTTGAGAAAATAAGTTTTAAAAGATTTCGAGCTAAGGTCAACCTGGCATAATAGTTTGAGGAAAGGAGTGGACAATGGTAGGTCGACCAGCCTGCTATCCTGCAGGGTCTTAGCCAGGAATACTCCCAGAGTCCAGAACAGGTTGGAAACCTTCAATTTAAATGTTAATTCAGAAAGGCTATGATTGCATCAATTACTAATTAGGGCTGGATTTCAGTTAAAAATCATGTTATTAAAATACCTAACACAAATTTACTTATTTTATGCCAAAATTTTGTTTAACAATTCTTTGGAAAACCATCTATTTTAACTGTAAATCTGTTAAAAAGACTGTCGTCATAATCTCAAGTGACCCTCCAGGGTCTCCAGTTCACATGTTCGATTCACAAAACTTATAAGCTTTGTATGATCAAGATAAAATGGGACATCGATGTTTGTCTCTAAAGGTCACTTGAAATTACGCTTACAGTCCTATTTAAGGGACTGTTGTTGGCGTAATTTGAAGCAACCCTCCATTTGTAGAGTGTCCGTGCCCTTTAAACCTTTGACTGATCAAGGTTGTCAGATGTATCCTCATTAATCTACAGAGACGCTTTTAATTGTTTAAACACTTAGTTTGCTGTTTTATACTTTAAAAATATTAATATTCACTTTCTAGACGTGGCAGAAAATAAATTTTTTCTTTTGGATTTTTGAATACCACTTTACATGTAAAATATTCAGGGACAAGGGACGCACGTCTGTGTTGAGTTTACACTGTACGAAGCGTATACCGGGTTTTACAGGAATAGATGTACACACAGAAATCTCTGAACTCGATGAATCGACTAAGTGTTACAGGGTACCGAGGTAGGCAAAAAAATTAATATTTTATTTTATTTCGATTTCAATTTTGATTTATATCAAGCTTTTAAACAGCATTGATACACCAAAAACATGAAAACAATGAGAAGCTGTCAATTAAAAATGCTTCTCTTATATTTCTTGTAAACTAGTAGTTCAAAAAAAGCTTGTTAACAATAAAAACTTTAATAAAAAAGTCGTCTTCATTAATATTGACATCATCGCCTACCACCGTTTCATCTTATTTATATAATTTTATCAAAATTTAAATTTAAAAAGAAATATGTTAAAAAATTATTTAAACCTTGTGACAAAGTTGTGAATCCTGGGGTAAAGGAGCAGGGAATAATCCTCCTACACGGGATACATAGTATCCAGGGGGCTTCTCACCACTACCCTTATCCCTACAACAATAATATAAACAATAACAATAATATCAAAATAGTATTTAAATACATTTAAATCAGTTTCAGGAAAGCATTATATTAAAAGATAGGAGCGGATAAAGTTTATTTAAAAAATCTATAATGAACTTCTGTTGAAAACTGCAATTTTCTTTGAGAAAAGATATATTTTCATTTCGAAATTAAAGTTTTGGAAGTAAGGATAATATTTTGTAATTTTGATGTTATCTTTAAGTTTGTTTATCCATCTTTCCTATCTTTTTCCTTAATAACTAAATGTCGACTATAAAAAAGAAAGAAATCCCAAAACATTTGGGATAGAAAAATCTAAATCCCAAAACATTTGGGATAGAAAAATCTAAATCCCAAAACATTTAGGATAGAAAAATCTAATCCCAAAACATTTGGGATTTGATAAATCTAAATCCCAAAACATTTGAGATAGAAAAATCTAAATCCCAAAACATTTGGGATTGAAAAATCTAATCCCAACACATTTGGGATAGACAAAACCTAATCCCAAAACATTTGGGATTAAAAAATCTAATCCCAACACATTTGGGATTGAAAAATCTAAATCCCAAAACATTTGGGATTGAAAAATCTAAATCACAAACCATTTGGGATTGAAAAATCTAAATCCCAAAACATTTGGGATTGAAAGATCTAAATCCCAAAACATTTGGGATAGAAAAATCTAAATCCTAACTAAAAGAAACAATTCTCTGAGAGGGAGTAGACGACGGTATCTAACCTTGTAATATTGTCTAGAACATCATCACAGATCCACATGCCTAGATCAGCTCTCTGTAGTTCAGCAGCTACTAGAGCAAAGAACTCTAGGGTTGGACCTAAACCTGTTCCTTCCTCTTCTAAGAACTCAACCTAAACAAGATTATTGTAATCACTTACAAATTATTATTCCTTTATGAAAAGCTTGTTTTATGAGATCCGAAAATTTACATTGAATCCCGCAAATCTAAAAATTACATGTAATAATGTTTACAATTTCTGCAGGTCCATGAAGAATTGCAGGGGTGCAAATTTTTAAGAATGGGGAAAAAATGGAAAAATGGAAATCTAAAGTTAACTTTTTTCATTATTTTTGATACTTTTTTATCCAAAAATTCATTGATACATACAACTAGTGGATTTTCCCAAATTCAGCGAATGAAACCGAAAAGCGAAGGAAAATTATTTTTAGAGAATATTTACACCCCTCTGGTTCCATGTTAAAACTAGCTCTTTACAAAGGAATGAAATTTACTCTCAAAAAAATTAAAACCCCCTCGAGATTTAATGATAAACCTTTGGGATACGCCCTTGAGACTATCATTGAATCCCTCGGGGGTTTTAAATTCCACTGATTCTTATTTTTCGGAGAGTACATGATACATTTCGGAAACTAAACCAAAAGCAGTGCAAATTCTTAGAAACAGCAGTTGCATACTTGTAAAAGTATTTTTTTAAAGAGCAAAAGAAGCAACAATGAATTAATCTAAATATTTTTTTCACCTCTAGAATACTCTTCCGGTCAGCGTGAAGTTTTAGAACATTTACAGCCCAGTCCAGGATCTTATCCCCCCGGGGTACCTTAACCCTCTCATGCTTTATTCGACCAATTCTACACAAATATAAACATTGGCTTATATATAAAAAACGTCAAAACGGCTGAACCGATCAGACTCGATTCAAAATGCACCAATCAAAATAGAAAAATCCGCGAAAATATGAGAACAATTAAAAATGGCGCGTGGCGACTTTCAGAACAACAGTTAAAAGATAAAATTGTTGATATAGAAAGAGGACTAAAAGCCTAGTTTATTAAACTTGAACAATCAACATTATGTTCATCCTAAATATTATTATAAATATTTTGTGTAAGAGAAAGATTTATATTTTTGTGACGAAAAAGAATGTACGAAAAAATTAGTAAAGTATCAAAATTCTAGGCAAATGAAATTCTTTTCGGGTTGAGAAAAATTTAAATTGTTTTGGGCGACGAGTTTTCAAGAAAAAAATGGTAAAATATCAAAAATCTTTAAGTAAACTGAACCTGAAATCTTGATGATCCTGCCTGCTTGACCCAGCGCTTCTACCTCGCTGGTCAGCTTCCCTCTGCTGCTGCAGCCAGACAATAGATCTAGATATTAAGGTCCCCAAATAAATGGCTGTATTCAAATGAAATGAAATGAAATGAAATGAAAAGAAATGAAACCTGGATGAACCGAATGCAGTACAGTAGAAGTACAGCTATCTGGTCTATAATGTACCTGGATGAACCGAATGCAGTGCAGTGGAAGTACAGCTATCTGGTCTTTAATGTACCTGGATGAACCGAATGCAGTACAGTAGAAGTACAGCTATCTGGTCTAAAATGTACCTGGATGAACCGAATGCGGTACAGTAGAAGTACAGCTGTCTGGTCTCAAACGGGAAGAGGAATGAGGAAGTGAAAGTTAATTGTTCACACCACTCAGGAAGTGAAGCAGAGCTTAAAACCAACGGATCCTAAATAAATGAAATTTTTTTTTTGATTTTATCATGAGATAAATTTTCGGCCGTAACAACAAAAATGAGTGAACACTGGTCCAGGGCAGTTAGTATTAGATTATAAATTCACGGGCAATGCAGAAAAATCCTCAAACTAAATTCTACGCGAAATAAAGGAGAAAACATCATGATAGATAAATTAGATTTTACTTAAAAAAAATATTACTTTTTCCTTTGTTTTTATCTTCACCTATAACATTTTTAGTCTTGTAAACAAATTAAATTGAACATAATCATCATTTTAAAACTATTGCATTGAACGTGAGCCCCAAAATTTATAAAAAGAATTCCACCTGAAGCTGAGTTACGATTTTATTCGTGATTTTCTTTGAGAGGAAGTTCTCGGGGGAGAGAATAGATTTGTGCTTCACGGCCAATTTCTCACTGTTAATATATAGTTGCCGGATCAATTGCAGGACCTACATCAAAACAAACACATGAGCAAATTTTTAAGTTTTTCCAAATGAGTTTTTGGATAATAAATGTCAAATATGAACTTCCCATTCATGTCAAATTTGTCACAAACATTTTTTTATTCGATATTTTCAGAACTGTTTGATTTCGAAGAATAATTATTGTAAAATGTATGTATATTGTATACATGTAAAAACAAACTCTGACATGGATCATAATTTTATTCTTTTAGTGATTTTTTAAAAAATAAATAGAAGAGTTAAAGGCACTGTTCAGGTACCCCCTTACACTTTACCTGAACAGTCCCTTTAAGGGGAGAAAATGTATGTTAAAATACTTTACAATCCCAAGAAGCGACTAAAAATAATATTTCATCCCGCCTTATATAATCTAGACTATACCCTACCTCATCCATACTGCACTGGGTGTTTGCTGTAATAGGGAGCTGGGGGAGTGAGGATCCCCTTCTGGATCCTGGAGCTGAGAGGTAGGGGAGAGAATCCTCCCTTGGAGCGGATCCTTCCCTCTGCTCCCTATAAAGGATCACGTATGTTGGCTCCCATACTCGGCGGAACCGATCTGATTTAGATCCAAGATTCGTATTCTTAAAATAAAAAACAGTTTTCAGTGAAATAGTTATAAATAAGGGGGCACAGATACAGTGATAACCAGAAAGATCCGGAATTAATTTTTAATTAATCAGACGACTTGTCAATCTAATTTTACTAATATTATTTATGATAATAACAAAATAGCCCTAGTCCTCCCAATTCCAAAATGTGGTCTGCCTTTATTGTATGTTTAAAATTACCAGATATAATTTATACATTTCAGTTTATAACTTCACATTTTCTATTAAAAAAGAATTATACTAAACATAATGCTTCACGCCGATCACGACAATCCTCAGTAGTTAAAATTGTTTAAACAACAGTTGTCTGATTAACTGTGAATTAATTCCGGGTCTTTCTGGTTATGACTGTATATGAAACAGTTTATATTGGGATCAAGCGATGTAGTTTAGCGCCTTTTCACACAAATTGTTGACCTCAGGTCGCGTTTATCAAAACAGAAAGCAGTTTTTAGTAAAATAGAGAGTATACAATATACATGACAAATGCCTTATATTTCCGGTTAGAGCCAAGTTAAGTTTTAAATAGTCCAATAAACAAGAACAACAGTAAGTGTGCACTGGGCAGCGAACACAGCGCCATTTCACTTAATAAAATAATTCTCAACCTACTGGTAAATCTATTTTCTTTATATCAAAATTAAGTACACACAAGATTGCGTTAATTATGTCGTCCTATTCTCAGTTTTAAGGTAATGAGTCCCATTTTGTACCTGAATTATTGTTTGAACAGCTCTGAATATTGTCCAGTCAGGATTAGTAAGCTCAACCTAAAATATTTATTAGATTAAATCTTTGGTTCAAATTTTAACTGGCAGTAGGTAGCTCAAATTCATAAAGTTCGGTCCATGGTTGAACGTAAACTGTAGTATACGGCTAGTCTGATTTGTGTGGGACTGGGTACATAAGACCAGTACTATGCACACCACCAACCTTGTTAGAAATAAGGCTTTTTAAAATCAATATTATTATTTTAAACTAAATTGCTGAGGTTGTTCCTGGTCCGAGGCAATCCCAACCAACAGCACCACCCCTTTCAATACGCATCTTAATCACGCTTGGGCCAGTCTATAAGTTGGACCTTGGGTTTGTTTTATTAATGATCTCATGATATATATTGATATGTTGGTATACACTTACCTCGATATCCTGTACTCCAGGTAGATTAGGACCTCGAACCACAAGTACTAGTCCAGGAGTCTGATGGAGTCCAGGGGCGGGGCTAACCTTCCCCTCCCCTTCACCAGGGACAGGTACAGTGATATCTGTGGTTTGGTTGACATTGGTCCGACCTGGCCTGGGATCGAAGGCGGGGATAAGAGCAGAGAATTTACGCTTCAGCACATGATCGTCATCCCACTGTTTTCTCTTACTACAAAATAAATTATGGTAATGTTACATCGTCTATACGCAATATCCTCTCTACTGAACTACTGCAATATCAGATCAACCACAACTGTTTATTTTGTATAATTTGACGGGTAGGTTAAGACAATTTCTGGACCAAGTGCTGCCGCTAGGACAGGCTAGGGGGCCGGACGTTGCAGCCACATGTCCAACTAAAAGCCGTAAAACCACGTGCTAGTAGGTTGAAAGTGTAGTATAGCGGATGTGGCGTATGTCAGAAGTGGAGTATTATGGATATGCCTCAGTCGAAAGATACGCCATCGAAATTATACGTCAAGAATGTTAAAGGAAATGTCGTTTTAATTTCAAGTAATGCACAACGGAACTATTTAAACTCTTATCTGATTAATAGTGTGAAACATTTCGTCGTTTTTCTAGCTTAACAAAAGTTTAATTCGGACAATTTCCTCCATTGTTTCTGTATCAAAAATCCGTAAGTGACTGTAACAGGACACTACAATTGTAAATAATCAATTTTCTTGGTCAAACAAAGTTGTTTTTAAGGATACCGTTGTGAGTCGGATATGCCATTAATTAATAAATGGAGGCTTAAGAGTCACTTAGAATTTATCAAGATTAAGTAAAACTTCGATCCCTTTTAAGGTTGTTTAAGAACTGTTTTGGCTTACACAGTTTGTATATATTTAAGTTGTGGGTTTCATGTGTACTTTCCTTGCTTTATGTGACTCAGAACTTACCTTAGGACGCTTCTAGCAGAGTCAGATGATTCTTCATCATAGTTATCCTCACAATATTCTTCATTATCATTCTCCTCATCATCATCTTCAGCCTCAGGGAGCTCCTGAATACAATCAAAGTTATCATCACAATATTCTTTATTATCATTCTCATCATCATCATCTTCAGCCTCAGGGAGCTCCTGAATACAATCAAAGTTATCCTCACAATATTCATCATTATCATTCTCCTCATCATCATCTTCAGCCTCAGGGAGCTCCTGAATACAATCAAAGTTATCATAAACAATATTCTTCATTATCATTCTCATCATCATCATCTTCAGCCTCATGAAGCTCCTGAATACAATCAAAGTTATCATCACAATATTCTTCATTCTCATTCTCCTCATCATCATCTTCAGCCTCAGGGAGCTCCTGAATACAATCAAATTTATCATCACAATATTTTTCATTATCATTCTCATCATCATCATCTTCGGCCTCAGGGAGCTCCTGAATACAATCAAACTGATCCTCACAATATTCATCATTATCATTCTCATCATCATCATCTTCAGCTTCAGGGAGCTCCTGAATACAATCAAAACAATGATGAATGTAGAGATTCATCAGATGAAAGATATATTAGAAGTTTAAGTTAACATATTATTTTAATTTTACTAAACATAATATGAAAGTAAACACAAAATGTAAATGTGAGTTAATTTTGCCATGAAAAAATGTAAGAATAAATTAAGAATGAAAGGATATATTATAATAATATAAATGATAATAAATAAGTGAATAAAAGGATGAAAAAGTAAATAAATTAATCAATGTAAGTATGAATAGGTGGATGAAAGTATAACAATAACACCCATACAACCCTAAGCCATAGTGCCTGTGTGTAAGGGTAGATGAACCTTTCCGTTACTGACGGATTCGGACCGAATCCAGTTATGTGTTTACCAGCTCGTAGATAGATTTAAGAAAGGATGAGTAGGTGAATGAAATGATGAATAGGTAGACGGAAGGATGAATCGGCGAACAAAAGGATGAATAAATAAATGAAATGGTAAAAGGATGAATAGATGAATGAAAGGAAGGATGGACGAAAGGGTGGATGAAAGGATGGATGAAAGGATGGATGAAAGGATGAATGAAAGTATAAATGCATGAAATAATAAATGAAACACTGATCTAACCTCATCATCCTCTAGTTCAGCAAGTAGTGTAGTGGCTCTACACGACTCTAGAAACTCTTCCATTGAAACCTGAAAACAAAAGCAATCAATTAATTAACAAAATCCTTCATTCAATATACAATCGATTAATAATTACTATAAATCTGCCAACAATTACGTCTTTTCATTTCTAAATATTTATAAAATCAATCAATCAATCGATAGATCACCTCAAAATAATCTAAAATACTTCAAATCGATCAATATTCGATATATACCAAAATAAAATAAAAATGTTGCATATCTATCCATCTATCAGGACAGTTTATCTACCTGCTCAGAATCGTAGTTCTGTCGGTCAGATCCATTGTTTCCTTGTCCAGGATTCAAGCTAGGGTAGGACTGGGCCTCCAAAGAATTAGACATGAAGAAAAGCTTTTAACAAACTTTTTTAACGTTTATTTTTTTTCGGATCTAAATTTTTTAGTAATATGTTTAAAATAAAATAGATAATGGTCGACGCAATTATACAGGGTGCTCACACGTGTGCACACACCCTGTCATTGTTCTTGTTGTACATCGTTTTTTGCAATATATTTAAGTAAATTAAAAATAGTTTAAAGATTGTTGATTCAGAAGCGATATGGATAAAAAACATGTATATACAATTTTTACTCGAACTGCTCTGTGGAATAGGAGATAACAGTTAAGATCAAATTATGATTTTAAAAATTTCAGTGAAAATAACAAACAGCAATTGTGCAGTGTACACAGACCCATTTCACCCAATAAATTTGGTTGCAATCAGCTAGTAAAACTATTTTCTTCATACCAGCATCAAATACACATCAGATTGCTTAAATGTCGTCTTCACATTCCACAGTTTTATAGGTCCCACTGTATACCTGGTTGAGTAACCCACTAGGGAAATTGCTCGACAGGGCGAGACGAACTAAACTAGAAACACTATTCGTGGATAACCCGCGTCCAAACACTCCTGAACTCAAGGAGTTGGCCGTGTTCCGACTATTGTTAGCGTTCGTGGATGCCGCGCTGCTAGATGCACCAGATGTACGCCTGCGCGCCACTGCCGCAAATGTCTCCAATAAACTGTACGTGTGACAAATGACAAATCCGTTATAATTTGACCTTCTTCCGGAAAAATATTTTTTTTTCTTCTAATATTTAAGTTAACGATTTTAAATGTGTAAAAAAATCTAGTTTAAAAGCACACACAAAATAGCAAAAGGAAAAAACTTAATTTGTCCAATTTTATATTTTTTTGTCTGGTTGTCATGTATCCCTGACAGCAGTAGAGTCTGCATGATTGGAGAGGTTTGGGACGGAAACAGAGTTTTCTTTCCGGGTATCCGGCCTCTCATCTACCTAAGTACACACAGAGGGTGGAACAGGGTCTAAAGCCATTTTTAACCAGAGTTTTACATTTTTTATATATTTCAAGTGTTGTTGAATGTTGATAAGTATCAAATCAAATCATAAATCTAGGAATTTGCTTACAGGTTAAAGTTTCATATTACTGATTAATCGACAAGAAAAAATAGGGAGTGAATATTATTTCTTTTTGTTCAGTTATTCAGAGAGATAAGAGATAATAAGGCAAGAGGACATATTTGGATTTGCAAAACGTGAGGCATATGAAGAAATATATGTTTAAATTGTACACGTGGGAAAACTTGTAATGGTTAAGCAAGCAACTATTTCAAAAAGCCTAAAAAACATTTTGCTTCTAAATTAAAAATTGATTATAGGCCATAATGTTATTCTCCTTAATAAAATAAAAGTCAACTATCAAAAATAATTCTAAAAGAACACAGGGTAAAAACTAAAATGCGGAATATAAGCGCATACCTCCTGCACCCGCCTTTTCTCATCATCTGTGGCGGAGTTCGCCTGGTTATTGGGCGGAGGAGGCGGTGGAGGGCAGTTGGGAGGTGGAGTTGTGACACAAGCCATGAGAGAGCCAGTGGTTGGTGGAGGGGTAGGAGTAGTAACTACACTGTCCAGAGCTAGGTTTAGTTCAGAGTTTAGATCTGCAGCGGTCAGCTCCAGGTAGTTGAACCTTAATAAGACATATATATTTAGGCTGGCTCTTCGAAATTGGTCACAAAATAGGTATTTAATCTATTCTTTGTCCCTACTTCTTGTCACCGTTAACCAACAACAGTATATCCCAGTGATAATAATGGATACAGTGCAGGATGCATGTTGTGTTAGACTTGATGGACTACTATTTCCGGCAGGTTTCATGACAAAGATCCTTTTGGCAGAAAATTTTATGGATTAAGATAATATTTGCATCTGATTTTGTGGCCTAAGATACTATTTGTGACAGGTTTCATGGACTAAGATACTATTTGTGACAGATTTCATGGACTAAGATACTATTTGTGGCAGGTTTCATGGACTAAGATACTGTTTAAGGCAGATTTTATCGACTAGATGCTATTTGTCGCATATTTCATCAACTAAGATACTATTTGGGGCAGATTTTATGCATATGTACGTTAAATCAATTTATAATTTCTGAATATCTTGACTTCGTAAATTACTATACTTCTTTTGAATATTAAGACTACCCAAATTATCAATCCATAAAATGATTTTTGAAATAAAATAAAACTTGAATGTTAAGAATGCAGAAGGCAGGAACTTGACAAAATAAACCAGATTATTGTAAATTAACAAAATAAACCAGATTATTGTAAATTAACAAAATAAACCAGATTATTGTAAATTAACTAAATAAACCAGATTATTGTAAATTAACAAATTCAATTAACTAGCTAGCAGAGCAAATATTCTATACTCAAACTAAGACAGAAACCCCCCAAAGCTTTATTATTAATAAATTATAACTTCAGTAAAAGATAGCGTTGTCAGGAAATTAAGTTTTTGGTCTACAGTAGTAGGCGATTATAACAATATAATGAAGACGACTTTTTTATTTAAGTTATAATTATTAACAAGCTTTTCTTGAATTACAAGTTTACAAGCAGTTAAAGAGAAGATTTTTTTTATTGACAGCTTCTCTTTGCTTCCATGTTTTTGTGTATCTATGCTGTTTAAAGCTGGATATAAATCAAAATTGAAATCGAAAGTCGTCTTCATAATCTTGATATAATCGCCTACTATCGTAGAAAAGGTTAACTTAATCAACTTAAAACTTTTAACCCAAGATAAGAACATTCCCGTGGTTTTACCGAGTTTCCCGATCTATATTTTTTGTTAGTTAAAATCTTCCTTGAAATACATCGCTGTTATCAGTATCAATACCTATTAGTATTTGAGTTTGGTCGATCAGCGAGGTTCATCGACTCCACCAGGTGTGCGAGGTCAGATGCCAGGGTAGAGGCCAGAGATACAACATCTAGTCCTGTATCATGTTGGAAATTAGCCTTAGATTATCCTCCCAACTTTAAATTGCCGGGTCAGAAATGGCGCATTATCATTTTTTTTGCATGTTTTGACTTTTTTAGTAATCCTGTTTTAACTTGGTGAAGGGATTGTAAAGTGTGATTGATCTAGTGGCATGTTCGAGCTGTTTCTGATCAAACATCAGGTAGGAATCACATTATGACAAGGGAAGATATCCCTCTTTTTTAAATCACAAAGACATTCCCTTTAAAACAGTCAAGTTTTATTACCTGCTGACTTGTTATCCATCTTCTCCGTGCCTAGACCTAATCTTCCAGAGTTCAAGTTGGAGTTGTTCGACCTCGAATCCCGTTCTAGATTATCCACAACCTCCAACAGTGGGGACAACGTGTCATTGTCGTTGGGAGACTCAAGACCCAGATGGGACTCACCACCAGATAAAACCTGAACAATCAAGTATTATATACTTAACCTAAGGCTAGGCTTAATTTTTTTTGGGTCAAAATTCAATTTCCTTGATGAATTTAAAAAAGGTTCAGGCCCATTTCTTGGGACCCAATTAACAATTTTGATTCAATTTCATCTGATAACAGATTATACAAAGGGTGGCAGTGCGTTGAGTTCCATTTAATTTTGATGTAGACCCGGATTCTGGATCCGTATTGTTTACAAATTCATCAGAATCCAGATCATGATATTTCTAGAAGTTTGTGAAACGCACAAAGTTAGTCTTGAGACATTGTAAATGTTCTAGCAGGAAAAAACTAAATTGCAAACTTGACCAATTTGTTTACCAATAAAAATATATTACCAAAAACCATGAACAAAATTCTATAAAATTTTGCTGTATTAAGTTATAAAGTTCAAAAAGTTTAACAAACCTGTGAAAGAACATTTGCAGCAACAGTCTCCGCTACTAGATTTGTTTCACCGGCGGAGAGATTTTCTCTTGCTCCGCCCTCAGTAAGAGCGGCGGAGTCTTGAGGCTGGTTACTGCTGGAGAGATTATCTGCTGAAACAGTTTGCTCATAGCTCTCAACCAAAGACTTCCCTAAGGAATAAGAGAATAAATTATAAAATTTATACATTTTAGCTAAAAACGTATAATGGACTTTTGAAGCTCTGGGAAAATGGAAATGAGACTTCCCAAGTGTTTTTCTTCAGTTCAATGAACGATACCGAGCAAGTTCCAGGAATTCAAGCCAATTTAGAAATAAACATTGATTTTCAATAGATTAAAAAAGTAAAAGCTTGAGTATTTAGATATTGTGAGATATTAAAAAACTAAATCCAAATTTCAATTTTAATTCAATTATATCTGATAAAAGATTATGCAAAGGGTGGAAGTGCTTTGAGATTCATTAAATTTTGATGCGGACCTGGATACTGGATCCGTATTGTTTACAAAATTATCAAAATCCAGATCATGTATACTATGCAAAAACTACTCTTTTTTTTTTGACAATTCTTTTAGCTAAAATGTTAGAGATCCAAAGGATCAGGATCCCTAACACTGATGGATGGTTTCATTACAAACCTGTTGTAGCATCGGGAATACTGGGAATAGAGGCTGCTTTCCTTCCAGTCAGAGGTCGGGCTTGAGGTCTCTCTGGCTTGACGAGAGGGGAGGCTGTGGCTGTTGTGGAGGTTGTTGAGGTCGGCGGGGAGGTGTACAGGGTTTTACCGCAGGTCGAGGTAGGACCACAAGAAACCTCCGGATCATAGTCTTCAATATTTTAAAATAAATCATTAAAAAAACTAACATTTTTTGCATTCATCACTAAAATAGAATTAAATCTATATTTTCAAAATATTCATATGAATTACCTGGTGCCAGCTTTAGATCATATTTCCCTTCTGCTCCCATCCTATAACTATTAGATGCTCCGTGGTCCCAAGCAACATCAATCCAACCGTTGTGAATCTCTCCTGTTATTGTTCCCTCTCCTTGAGGACCCCCTGGTCCATCCTGGTCTCCCCACTTCCAATCCAGGCCTCGAACTACCCGGGCCCCACTTACAATGTGACGGACCATGTTGTTTTTCAGAATGCGTCGCTGTTTCCGGAGAGCAGCTTCTGCTTCTTTTGCAGCTTTTCCGAGTTCGTCACAAACTCCAGTCACAATTCCATATATTTCAAATCCAGAGAGAGAAAGGTAGTGTGTCTGTGCTGAGGCATTTTTTCCCATCTGTTGAACCCTGATATGTCTCCAACCTCCTGCTTCGTCAGGATGCGGCGGTATCTGCCAGGTTGCTGTGGATCCAGGTTCTCCCAGCTTCTCGTCTCGGTTATGCTCTAACAGCACAGTCCAGTTGATCCCGTCCTTACTCCCCTGAAGCTGCCAGGTTCGGAGAGCTGATCGTCCATATCCTCGAGCATGCCGCAGGGTGTAAGAGGTTGGGGATATCCAGACTCCAAGGTCTATAGCAAACCAAGCCCTTCTGTCGTCATTCGTGTGGCAGTTCAGAGCCCCTGGTTCCCTGGATAGAATGTCCTCAAGTCTTCCATAGGGCAGGTTTCTCCCTTCGCTAGAGGTCACTACAACCAGACCATACTGAGCTGGGTTGACCCATTCAGCAGCAGTTCTACCATTAGTTCCGATCCAGTAGAGCAAACCCTGCTCGTCAAAATCACTCTGGTAATTAAATGTAACATTTGACTCCATTATTCTTTTGATGAAGTTAAATGTTGTTCTCTCATAGTCATACCATTGTTTGGCTACCATCTTCAACAAGAACCTTTCCAGTTGCCGGACTGTGGCAAGGGGTTCCATCTTTAACGATCGACCAGATCTATCAATCAAACCCATCTCCCCAGATCCACGCTCTAATCTAAACCTAAGTCTTCGGGTGAGGATTTGAAGACCGTATCCTCCATTGGACTGATCATAGAGGTAAACTGGCAGCTTCTCTATAGTCTCAAGCACAGAGATTAGTTTCTTTACAAGAGTAACTGTGGTTTCCACTGGAAGGGTTTCTCTGATCACAGCGAGTCTTGCCTCATGGTGCCGCTTTGCCTTCTTCTGATATTTACTCTTCTCTGGTCCTCCAGCTGTACCATACAGTTTTAGGAAGCATTGGATCAACCCTGAACTATTTAGTTCGTATGCAGACACACTAGAGTCATCCTTGAGTAGTTCAGATAGTTCTAGCAGAGCAGAGCTTAATCCTTCCTTCCACTCATTTCCAGAACTGTTCTTAGCCTGCTTCTTCACAGCCATGTCGACTTTGGAAACTATGTTTGCTAGGTCTGCTACAATACCACGGGGTGTAGCTTGCGCTGCTTCAAAATATTGATCATAGATGTCTCTGGAGAGCTTGCGGATTTTCTGCCTTGTTTGGTCACTTTTGGAAACAAGCTTCTTAGACTTCTTGGCAGACCATCCTGCTGAAAACTCCGGACCTGAACAGAAGTTATTTTTTTCCCCAAACATCCAATTTTTTAATTTTCCCCTGAACTAAAAAAGTTTTTACCTAAGGAAGTTTCAGCTGTAAAGCTATGTTTGGTCCCGCGGTTGCTTTCGAACAGGAAACCTGCCAGATCCTCTCTAAAATATTCAAGAATAAAAATTTAGTAAAATTTAAAAAGACTGACAATAGAAGTTTAAAAAAAAAGGTCTATCGCTGGCGAGTAGATATACAGAGTCACCCACAAAGGATGAGACTTTATGGGCCGACCTAAGCACCTAAAAATATGACGATTTAAAGGTTAAACAACTGTTTGGAAAAAAACCTTATTTGTTATTTTTAATTATTTAGTCAAGAAATAAACAAGTGTAAAGTTGCGAGGAACCACAACTAAAAAAAGACTAATTAAATTATTAGTACAGTCGTCTCATAAGTCTCATCCGTTGTGTGTAACCCTGTATATTATACATACCATGCCTGATAATATGCCTAAAACCTGCCTTAGAGTCGTGGACTGAGTTTGCCCGTCACTGTTAACAATTTTGAGTTCTCCTATTTTCTTACATTCAAGAATCCAGTTCCCGACAGAAATTGTTCTTTCATTTGGCCCATCCTGATAATATTAATCAATTCATTCATTCATTTATTCATCCTCTCATCCTTTCATGTATTCATGCATTCATTTATACTTCCTTATATCCTTTCTACATAATTTATCATTTTATCCGTTAATTCATCCTTATTAATTTTTCATTTATTCACGTTTAAGATTTTTTTTCATGAAGTTTTCAATCATTCATTTTTCAATATATCTAAATTCGTCCATGTTCAAATTGCTGACAGAAACATGCGGAATTTTTAATCAATCAATTATTCAATTCATCATTTTCCATTAACAGCTTTTCCAGATCGAGAATAAAGGAGATATCCACGATTTCTCTTTAAAACATAGTTTATTTTCAATAAATGGTTTTCTATAAGAGTGACTTGCGAATTTCTTGCTTCAAAAACAATAGAGAATCGTTGGAGATTGTCAATAACTGTTTAAGCAAGAAAAACGACGATATCCTCCACATTATTGAACAGATAAAGGTTAAACGGGTACTGTTGTGGATCAGGTATGACACTCTTGAAATAAGGAAGCACTTGAAATTATGCTTATCACCATTTAAATAGTATATACCTTGAAAAGCTCAATAGCTGATGAAGATGGCTTGACACTAGACCTTGCTCGCTGTAGTTTCTCCAGAAACTCTCCTCTATTCTCTGAACTATCTGATCCACCTTCAGGACTTCCACTGCTGTACATAGTAGCCAGCTTGTTATCCAAGATAAACCTAATATAGTAAATATTAATGGTTTATTCAGAAACTCTCCTCTATTCTCTGAACTATCTGATCCACCTTCAGGACTTCCACTACTGTACATAGTAGCCAGCTTGTTATCCAAGATAAACCTAATATAGTAAATATTAATGGTTTATTCAGAAACTCTCCTCTATTCTCTGAACTATCTGATCCACCTTCAGGACTTACACTGCTGTACATAGTAGCCAGCTTGTTATCCAAGATAAACCTTAGATAGCAAATATTAGTAATTTTCAGTTCAACTCTCCACTCACCCTCACAATTTAACACTTCATTTTTATTTTCCTCTTGAAACAGTTTCATGAGTAAGAAACTTATTAAATCGATTGTTTTAAATAAAATTCGAAGAATTTTGAAGAAACCAACAAATTTGTTTTCCTAGGAGATTGAAGAGATTAGTGAGATTTCAAAACAAACTTTTACAGAAGTATTTGTTTAGACAATCGTACTACATCTCTTTTCAATTCATAAATCTCCATTTTTGATAAGAATTTGTTGTTTAACTACCTAAACCATCCGTTAGAACCGTTGGATAGTTCTAGTGCTGCAGCATCTGACCAAATATACAAGCAGTCTCTTCCTTTAGCTAGACACCATTCCTTCCAGTAATAGGCTCTGCCACATACTATATCAGTATCCCGGGATCCTAAACATTTACGTTATTTTTTACAGTGCTTAGCAGGGGTATATATTTTCATGAGAAAACTTTTGAAAATGATCTCCCCCCCCACAGAAGTTAGGGATGGTTGCGCGAAGCGGAATTTTTAATGTTTGGGTAGTAAAGGGTGAGTAAAAGTTTTCAGGACTTTTTACGTTTTAGTCATTTTACGTTCTTTTTCAAGCTTAAAGAGTGTTTAGTTCTATCAATTTCCTCCATGGTTTCTGTAGCAAATATTCGCAAGTCACTTCAAAAGAAACATCACAATTGAGATTTTTATTTTTAAAATAAGTCATGGATATCTTATTCCAGATCAGACAAAGCTGTAATACTTCCGTGTTGTAGATGTATTCTATAAACGGAGAGCCACTTGAAATAACGTCTACAGTTCCTTTAATACGTATTCGTATGGTTACCTGATGATTCGTCTTCTCCAATGAAAGTATCTGATATTGAACCCAGATCCAAGATGTCCTCCTGTCAATACATTTTCATAATATATCCAAACATGAGAATCATTAGGCGTAAAAGACTAATCCGGAAGAAACGGGAGGGGGGGGGGGGAGAGAGAGGCATCAAAAATTGTGTCCCCCTTACAAAACTGAACTTCATGTAAAAAACTGTGTATTCTCAAAAACAAGTTATTTCTAAAATATACACCCCCCCCCATAAAAAAAATAAAGAAGAGGAATAAATTCTGAGAATGATTATAACTTTAAGTGAATTTTCCAGTTGAATTCCTAGTAAAAATAATTTGTGTTGTTTGTAAACTCGCAAGTAAAATTAAATAATTTTCCAGACTGAAAAATCTGAACAAAAACATTGTATTTTCCTGGGGTTCACAGAGTACACTGACTTTACTGTACACTCCAAGCTTGGCAAAATATTCCAACCATTTACTCTCAGTATCTGAAAAATACATGTTAAAAATGTAATCATAATTTCAAAGTTTTATTTACCTTTAAAATCAAATCAATTCGGATAAAATCCAATCCAATCCAATCCAATCCAATCCAATCCAATCCAATCCAATCCAATCATCCAATCCAATCCAATCCAATCCAATCCAATCCAATCTCAAATCTCCTCTTCGGAGGGAAAAGTATAAATATTTAAAAATACCTTTTGTATTGAGCATTAGATCTTGAATGATATGGAGACAGGCAAGATGTCCTTCTTCGTCATCTTCAGTATCAAGCACACTGGCGATCACTTGAACAACGTCACCTAGAAGATTATTAATAACTAGAGGATCATTTAAAGATTGCAAAATGTTTGTTGTTGCTGAAATAAAAAAACACGATAATAAGGGGTATAGCAAAATATGAGGGGGGGGGGTTTAGATATTTTTGTTATGGAAAGGGGGGGGGGTAGAAAATGAAACATTTGATATCAACAGGCACGATATTCTCTATTTTAATACTTTTTACCGTAAATACAATTTTCCCAAATTCAGCGAATAAAAACTAAAAGCATTCCTCAATATAAATATAATGGGACCGGAATTAATGAACTTGAGCTACGACTACCTACTGCCGGTTCAAATTTGAGCCACTGATTCAAAGTTCGTGGGTAGTTTAACGACCCCGCAAATTCATTGAAAATTCCGTCACTGAAAGTACAATTTTTCAAGAAAATGTTTACCCCTGAAAAAAATGGGACCTGCAACATCTGTGTTAGAAGTGGCGTCCAGAAGATTTTTGTCCATGTAGTGGATTATCTTCTTCACCAGCCCCAGGGACGCCCTCTTCACGCTCAAGATCATAGAGCTGTGGAAGGTGTGGCAGAACACAGGGAGGAGGGTGGACACGTATATTGGAACCATCTCAGGATCTCCTGATCGTCAAAATGATAATTAATTCATTGTATATAATGATTAAAAGAAATTGTCAAATTGAAAAATGGAACTTCTAAGTTTCCATTTGATAAACATTTTATCACAACTCATTCATTCCACGACAAAATTATTAATTTCTACCAAAAAAATGTTCAATAACCATATTATCCATAACCTTTTTGTCCTGTTTCCTCATAGTTCTTATCATTACCATTGGTCCCGTTTCCTCTTAGTTCTCTTAAACAGGTTTTAGAACCATCTTATCATTTTCTTTGGTCCTGTATTCTCCCGGTTTTCTTGAACATGGTTCATGAACCAACTTATCCTTACCTTTTGGTCCTGTTTCCTCCTGGTTTTCTTTCACAGGTTCCTGAACTATCTTTAATTACTGTTTGGTCCTGTTTCATTTCTTTTCTCACGAGGTTCCTGATCCATCCTATCATTACCTTTTGGTCCTGTATTCTCGTGGTTTCTTGAACAGGTTCCAGAACCATCTTATAATTACTTTTTGGTCCTGTTTCCTCCTAGTTTTCTTGAACAGGACCATATTTTCTGATCCTTTATATTACATACCTTTTGGTCCTGTTTCCTCCTGGTTTTTTTTAACAGAACCAGTTTTCTGACCCTTTATATTACATACCTTTTGGTCCTGTTTCCTCCTGGTTTTCTTGAACAGGACCAGGTTCCTGAACCATCCAGTCTCCAGGACTCTGGAGGAGTCCAGCAACTTCACGGTGTCCCTCGTCGTTCCTCTCTCTTGCCTTGTCCAGGGGGGTTTTACCCTCCTCATCTCTGCAAATAATTCAATTTAATCTAAGATAATAACAACACAAATATTCAATAATAGGTGTGCAGAATAAATATTCAATAATAGGTGTGCAGAATAAATATTCAATAATAGGTGTGCAGAATAAATATTCAATAATAGGTGTGCAGAATAAATATTCAATAATAGGTGTGCAGAATAAATATTCAATAATAGGTGTGCAGAATAAATATAGAAAGCTCACAAAGGGAGGTTAAGGGAATACTTGATTATTTTGAAAATAGTAAACACCTTAATAATACATTGAAATTTGACCAAATTAAAAAAGTTTTAAATTATAAATTTTTTAAAATTGAGTTTAATGCAAGGTTCTCAATATCTTTCAGATCCATACAAAGTTGAACATTTTCTGAAAAATAATTTTTTTTAAAGTAATATGTTTTGCCTGGAAACGCTTTTTTTTCTCTTTCTTTTTAGACATTGAAATTCTAAGAATGATAACCCCTAAACCTTAAACCTTGTTGGCTCCGTGTCGGAGAAAAAATCGTGACTAACCTGAGATCAGGAATGGCTCCTTGTCGGAGAAAGATCATGACTAACCTTAAGATCAGGGTTGGCTCCGTGTCGGAGAGAGATTATGATTCCTTAGATCAGGGTTGGCTCCGTGTCGGAGAAAGATAATGACTAACCTGAGATCAGGGTTGGCTCCGCGTCTGAGAAAGATAATGACTAACCTGAGATCAGGGTTGGCTCCGTGTCGGAGAAATATAATGACCAACCTGAGATCAGGGTTGGCTCCGTGTCTGCAAGGTAATAGACTAACCGGAGATCAGGGTTGGCTCCGTGTCGGAGAAAGATTATGACTAACCTGAGATCAGGGTTGGCTCCGTGTCTGAGAAGAACCTTTCCAATTCCAGGTCTTCCAAAGCAAGCAGCGTAGTGCAAACTGCTACTTCGTTGACCTGAAGAATAAAATATATCCATTTAAATTTACTAAAAGAGACTGTAAGCATAATTTCAAGTGACCCTTCATGCAAAGATGGCAATGTCCGACTTACAACGGTACCCTTGAAAGCTTTGTCTGATTAATTATGAATTAGAAATCATTGTTTATGTAACTTTAAACTGTTTATTTTCATTTGCGGGTTCTCTGCAAAAGTGACTTGCGCATTCCTTGTTAATAAGAAACAATAGAGTAAATCACAGAAATAAACACTTTTCGATCAGAAAATCGGGCATTGCCATCCTGAAGGGTCACTTCATATTAAGCTTACAGTCCTTTTTACTATCCATGTCTTTACGTCCTTTTCCTCTCACAATTGACAGGGACACGGATTTTAAAAAAATGGGGGAATACATCTCATATTCATTCATTTATTTTGGCAACACCAACACTACAAATGGGATAAGACTTTGTGCCTGTTTACCACTTCCTAGCTTTAAATAATACAAGGTCATGTTAAGGTTTGCCTGGTAGGCAGTAATGGTTCATGTTCATATTTGTCTAACCGATTTAACTATTTTCAAAATAAAAAAAAACATTTTACAAAATTGTTTTTGTTAGGTTTAAGCCGCGGATCAATTTATAAATTGTACATTTCGGAAGTTCTCACTTAAAAAATTCTTTTTAGAAACTTGCATTTTGGATAATTATTTAAAGTGACAATATTTTTTAATTTTTATTTTGGGAAAATTATAATGCCTTTGGTAAAGTATATGTCCTTACCTTTATTTACATTAACTCCTTTGTAACAGAGGAATCAACAAATTAGAAAAGTGCCTATGGTAAATTGTAAAGAAAATATCCTTTGGGAAAATGACTTGCTTTTGGGAAAGTTTATGTCAATATCTTTATTTACTTCAGCCCCCTTGGCACGTACAAAGGAATCATAAAAATTAGGAAAATTCCAGCATAAAATAATGAAATTGGGAAAATTGGCATTTTCAGAAATTTTCTTTTGCGAAAAATTAAAATGCCTTTGGGAAAGTATCTGTTCTTACCTTTGTTTACATCAGCCCCCTTGGCACAAAGGAACTCCACCATCTCCTGAGTACCAAATGCTGAAGCCCAGTTTAACAAGGTTTGTCCAACATCATCCATGAAGTTTACCTCAACCTGGAATACATAGTTACGTACATCAATGTCTATTGCTTAGGATCTGGATCCGTTGGATCCGCATCATTTTGGCTTCAAGGATCAAGATCCGGATCCGCAAGAATATGCGGATCCATGGAGCTAAATATGAACCAAAAATTGAAGAAAAACAAATTTCCCTCTCAAAACCAAAATCTGAACTGTTGGAAAAAGAGAAATTATTAAAAATTTCCTTATTTCTGAATGATTCATCAAATGTTAGCATAAAAATAAGCGAAAAAAAAGAAGAAACCAATTTGAAAATTATTCTTTGGCTAAAAAGAATCAGCAAATCTTAGAGAAATGTTCATGACATGAAATATTGTTATTATTATTATATTATCAGAAGATCCTGCAAACGGCATTAGAATACATCAAAATGGACCTTGAGCACTGCTGATGAATCTAATGTAGTAATTAACTCTCAAGACCGCATTGGAGGGCGATTGAGCTTGAAAGCACGGTATAAAATAACAAAATATTAGGATTAATTTCATATCAAAAATAAGTTTTTATACTGTGTAATAACTTGGAAAGAGCGTAAAAACTTTTCTATAACATTTTTTGCTGTGAACTAATGTCCTGCTTGGGAACCCCAATCACTGATTAAACCTGTTTTTAATCTGGACACTCTGTCAGGACAAGAGGGTAATAATCAGAAATACTTGTCAAAATGCATTTTTCCCCTTGTCTACAAGAGATTAGAATGCGTAGATCTAAAAGAGAAGGGCAAAAAACAGATGTATGATCAGATGAAAACAAGATACAACGGTCAGAGAAAAAAATTAACTGCTCTTTTTAAAATTTTGTTAAAAAAAATTTTAATTTATAAATAAATAGTTATACCTGGCCACTCTCCACAGCTTCAACTAAAGCATCCGTGTCCTTGGATCTAAAAAAGGAAGTTTATTAATTTTAAAGGATATTCAAAGCCTCTGTACTTAATGACAAATACATGCAACCCAAAAACTGATTTTTTTAAATTGCATGTCCGATTCACGAAGGTACCCTTTCAAATCAAATCAAGAAGCTGTTAACGTAATAGTTCAAGTGACCCTCAATAAAAAAACGGTATGTCTGATTTATGAAAGTACCCTTTAGCAATGCGGGAAATATCGTGTTGCAGATCACTTAAAAATGTAATTTAAGAATTCACTAACCGTATACAATCTATTAGCTGTCTATGCGTCCTTTCTCCCGCGCTATCCATCCTGCGTAGACCGGCCAGTCGGGACGCGTCAGGATGATGCCTGGACGCTATGGGAGTAAGCGGAGCTTTAGGAAGAGCTGCTCGGCCCTCGAACAGCAGGACCAGAAGAAGATCAGTTAGTCGCATAGTGTCCAGCACACACCGTTCATCTCCCTCCAGAGCCTTCTCTATAGCCACAGGAAGACTGGACCTAAAAATAAATAAGAATAAATACACATAAATGATGCTTTTTTCACATAAATTTTCTTAAGTTCATTTTTCCATTAGTTGGATTGTACCGAACTTCATTTTCCAAAATGCGCTAGCAACAGAGTTCGGCCCCCTCGAATATCCAGGGAGTAGTTAACAGTCGATGTTGAGAATTAAAATTGAAATTAAAAGTAATGATTAAATAAAAATAATAACGCATCATAAATGGCGACTAATTATTTGTCAGAAGCATTTTTTCAAGTGCATTTTTCTGGAAGATATTTTCCGTTTGTGAGAATCCACCAAATTGTTTTCCCCCCTCTATTATCTAAGGAACAGCGAAAGGCCAATGTTGTCGATACAAAAATTAGGAATTTACTTTATGCAAAGTTAATTCACAATGAAATAAGATCCGACAGGCCCTTATCTTGGGACACCCCGTCCGCCATCGCAGAGGCAACCATGTGCCCGGCCTTTAACAGCTAATTACTATGGGAGGTAAAGCATCATCTTTATCCATGTCAATATTTTTTTTTCTTGGTACCTCAGAATATTGAAGGTTATGGTGGGGGAGCCCCTGCACAGGGTGGAGAGGAGAGAGATGGTGGTGGAGACAGATTGGGAGGATTTTCCACCAGAATCAGTGGGAGCTCCGGGACCTCCAGGTGTTCCTGATCACAAATATTATCAAAAGAAGTTCATTTTTATGTATTAAATAAAACCCCAGAAAATTATCTACATATTCAAAAGTTCACAACTTAGGTCATTTTTTATTTTTAGGAAATCAGATCATTTTATTGTAATACTTATTCTATGACCCCTGGGACCAGCTCACTGTCTACCTGTAATACTAGTATTATGACCCCTGGGACTAGCTGACTACCTGTCATTAGGGATGTTAACGTTTTAAATTTTTTGAAAAACGGTCGTTTCGTTATGAAAACGACGAAAAATCGAAAACAAAACGATCGTTTTTAAAAACGATCGTTTTTTAAAAATGGTCGTTTTCAAAACAATCGTTTTTAAAAACGATCGTTTTAATCAACGATCGTTTCTCAAAGCGATCGTTTTTTATAAAACTCGCCGTTTTATTAACGATCGTTAACGACAACCCTTCATTTACGATCGTTAACGACGACCCTGTCTACCTGATATACTAGTAGTATGACCCCTTGGACTAGCTGACTACCTGTAATACTAGTATTATGACCCCTGGGACTAGCTGACTACCTGTAATACTAGTATTATGACCCCTGGGACTAGCTGACTACCTGTAATACTAGTATTATGACCCCTGGGACTAGCTGTCTACCTGTAATACTAGTATTATGACCCCTGGGACTACTGTCTACCTGTAATACTAGAAATGACCCCTGGGACTAGCTGTCTAGCTGTAATACTAGCACTATGACCCCTGGGACTAGCGGACTACCTGTAATACTAGTATTATGACCCCTGGGACTAGCTGCTGTGGATAATCTATCCAGGAGTTCTTCAGTTAAACCGTTTTCTGCCAGAGGAGCAGGATCAATACCTTTCCTGATAAACCTAAATATAAACATATTAACAAACATCAGACCCTAACTTAAATAAAGTTTGTCTGTTCGTAGGTTTTTTTTCAATAAAAGCCAAACGGCCGAAACGACCAGAAACGAAACAGAAGTAAAAATTCTATTTTATGAAAACTGGCTGCATAAAAAGCAACAACAGAAAGCTTAAATTATTATTATAAAAGTGGGCGCGAATTGTCTTTATTCATAGGGAGGGGCACAACTGGGGAAATAAAAACACAACCTAGACAATATTTAGTAGTGTATAGATAGATAGATTCAACACCACCTAGACAACTATCCTGGGATTCCATCTTAGAACACAATATTTAGTAATGTATAGATCTAGACAATAGATATACAATAATGTTGAAGTGGAATACATTTTTAAGTACCAGACTTATCCCTTCCAAGGACTTCATTCTTAAAGCTTTTTGAGAGGAAAAATCAAAAATACCCAATCCGATATTCTGGTTTTAAGAACTTTTTATTTATTTTCAGCGAAAAATATTTAGTTCTCAAATTACATTAGTTACATTTCTAAGCTCAGTAATGATTGTATTATTTTGCATTACGTTCTCTTCTAACTAGTTCATAAAAAACATATTCTGATTTTTTAAATTTTCACAAATATTTGCAAATAATTGTGATAAGATAACTGAATATTCATTATTTCTATACTTCTTATTTACAGAGAAAGTACAGTAACGCACATGATGTACTCCAGGGATGCACCAGTGTACAGTACACTGTACTGTACAGTGTACTGTACAGTACAGTATCGGATATAACAGTGAAAATGATAAACACTCTTTATGCCTTAAACTCATTGGAAAGTAATGAAAATATGGTTAGAAAAAATACATTTTTTTGGAGAATCTTTTTATACTTTTTATTAGAGAAAAATTAACAAAACCATTGGTTTTCTAAAAAAAGCGTTAATAAGAAACCTACCTTGATACTACACACATTGCTGAATGAAGGGTATCCTTGTGAATCTGGGAACCACTGTCCCTGAAACACCAGGAATATGATAAAAAATTGAAGAAATAGTCCCTTTAAATCAAGCTTTAAATTTGTTTTGACGAAATTCTGACATAACGACATTCTTTTGATAAGATGTAAGATGTAAGATCATGTTCTTGTTTTTAGAATCACATTTAGTTCCAAAAAAGGATACGATGGATGATAAATTAACCAAATTAAAGAGCAATTAAATGGGAGAAATCTGAGCAAAAACGATAGTTCTCTAAATATTTTTAAAATATTTGAACCTGATGAAGTTTAGAACACAGGATAATCCCCCGGCTTCAAACACTGGACCAGCCTCTCTACAAAACAATATCAAAATTAACCGCCATTTTAAATCTTAGTCTCGAGTCTTAATTCCTTCGTCGTCAACTCTAACATTAGACTCAACTCGAGAGATTAAAAAAAAACTATCAACAATCGCAACATATCCCAGGACTTGACCCTAATTTTAGTTATAAAGCAGTCAAGCCTTAACAAAAAGTCCACAAATTATTTAAATCACTTATTTTCTTCTCGCAAGAAGATTCAACCATGTCTTTTGACAAATACAAAATAAAAAAGAGATTCCATCCAATCTAACAGATTTGGATATCCGTTGCTTCAAAAAATAATTCAGACATTACTGTTTGCGTATATAGTCTTAGCTTCCCCTTATTTTTATTTCAAATATATTTCTAATCTTGTTGAAAAGATTTTTTAAAAGTAATAATGCTAAATTTTCAAACTTTTTGGAAATATTAGGTTATTCATAATTATCATCAGTAGACAAACCATCAATCAATGAGATAGAGGTTGACACTCCTCGCCACCGCAGTGTATCTAATCCGTGGGCAAAATGGCCTGTCATGAATTTGAGCCAATTTGTTACAATAAAAATATGATTACCTCGTGCAAACTAACTCCAGAACCTTAATACACTGTTCTGCCAGATCTCTGCTAGTCCTAAAATTAAAGTTTGATCGATAAATCCAAATTAAGACAACTAAATGAAAATGGATTTAATTTTAAATGTTCGATTTTTTTTGCAATGTAAGTAATACTTTAATTGATGGTTTCTACCTTTAAATTTTTTTCATATGAAAGTAACTTTACCACTGGATCCAGATCTATGGAGTGGATCCACATAATTTAAGGGATCAGGATCCAGTGTGCAATGGATACAGATGCTAAGGATTAATAATTACCTGTTACTAAGATCAACCACCTCTAGTCTAGTGCACATTGCTTTAATAGCCCCCTCCACTGCCACAATGCGCCTAAATTAAGTTAATATTATATTATATATTGAACCAGTTTTGGCAGTAAAAATAGTCAAAAGAAGGTATAAAACTTGCCAATGTAAAGTCTACTTATAATTCCCTCAACTTTTAAAAACCCTTTCAAACATGAGATATAAATTTTTCCAATTGATTCACAAATTATTAAGGTAAAGTTTAAAGTGTGCTTGTCATCTAATTCCAAACATTAGGCTAGATGTCCCTTCATCTTTTCATGGATATATATATATGTATATATAAAATAATTTTGGGGTCATATTATTTTAAATCCTATAATGTTAAAACACTAATCTCCCCTTTCCTAACCAACCCAACAAACACAAACAAATTAAAACTTACCGCATTTTGACCAACCTTACCGACCTTTGATTCCCCAAAAGAGGGAGGTTAGGTTACTTAACGTCCCTTGGGACAGTAATGTAAAATAACCACCCGTTCTGCGAAGTTTTCGGGAAAAACTTCGCGCAATTTTCGTCTCAAATGTGTACGACTAGTTTTTCGGGAAATTAAAAATTTTACTTGACCACGGATTCCCTCGACCAATTTTGTCTACATAACATCCAATTGGTCTTGGGAACTCTTGGTATAGTAAAATTCCCTTAACTTTCCTGTTAAGTAGTTGTAAATAATTATAGTTTTATGTCCTAAAGTGCATCCTAGAAAATATTCATTTCCTCCCTCAAATCTTTAGAAATCCCTCACCCCCCCCCTTCCCCCCTTTTTTTGAAAATATTGACGCCTGCGCAGTACCTTGTACATTCAGCAGAAACATCTAGATAGTAGGTGATACCTCGAGCAGTAACCTCTAGAACCTACAAAGTACAAATAGTCACATTTGTAGAAGAAAAAAAATTTTGTCTAAGAAAAGTCAATATATTGTTTCAGCCTTTTCTTGAATGTTCGAGTATTTTTTTTTATATAAAACTGTACTTTACTGTACTGTACTGTACTGTACTGTACTGTACTGTACATTATCACACAATACCATAATGTACTGTACCGTCCTGTCATGTACCGTACTGTACCGTCCTGTCATGTACCGTACTGTACCGTACTGTACCTGATCTGGAGCCTCGCAGTCCAGAAATATCCTACATAGTGCTGGAAGAAAGGTTCTGGGAGGACAAGACTCAAAGCAGCGATCAACATTGTCCGACATGAGGAGCAGCATGCAGAGCTGCTCCAGGGCAATGAGCTGCATATCCCTCTNCCCCCCCCCCCTAGAATCTTGGGGACAAAAATATCCCCGTTTAGGAACTTGATCTCCATTCTCCAATCTCCATGTCCATGATTACCATTAATTATTAGGGAAAATGTAAAAAAATTTTGCCGCTTCGCGCAGATAATCTTACTCAATCAACTTTAACAAAGTAACCTAAATTTAAAATTTTACCCAAAAATCGAGTTTTTTAATTTCATAAAAAACCCGTGAAAAATGTGTTAAAATTACTAAATCATTTCTTGACGGTGTTTAATAGGTTTATATATTTCAAATTTCGATTTTAAATATTTAGAAAATTCTATCACTTCGGAATTTATTTCTATATCTAGAATATTCTACGTTTCATATTTTTCTTAACAAAAGACAGTCGTCAGCTGATTTTAATATTTAGGTAGCACTAAACTCAACTAAATTCTAATGGAAAGTGAATTGGGGGGAGGTTTAATATTTTTGTAGACACGAAAAAGGATTTTTTAACTCATTCTGCTTTATTCGTCAAATCTAAAAAAATTAAATATTTAAATAATAATATCTTAATTACACCCCATTTTTTATAGGGATCGCTAAACTAATGTATCGTGATTGTCATAGAAGACCAAATTCAAACAAAATTCCCGAAATTCCAGAGTTTTATATTAACAACATTTACATATTTATTATATAAGTTATGTATGGCTAGACTGTAATATGTAATATGTTAAATGATATATTCGCGAATATGTCCTTTTGTCTGTAAGTTAGTATAAATATTTTTATATTTTAAATTTTTGTGTTGTGCATTACTAATAATTTCTTAATTCGATTATTTGATTCCTCTCCTAGGATTGAACGCCTTAAAGAGGTATCCGCTCCATCCGACCAAAAGGTTTTTCAAGTTAAATTTTTCAAAATTAATCGTAAATCCCTCAATGCTTATTTATTGAGGGAATTTTTCACTTTTTTTGATCGGTTTCCTCGATTTTTAGGTCGGATTCCAGTTTTAACTAGTCAAATGTTTTTGAGGGTTTTTAAAATAATTTTGATCNAACTATTTTTTTTTCATTTGAACTATTTTTATGTTCATTTGAACTATTTTTTGTTTATTTCATTAATAATATTTTAATAGTTCAAATGAAAATAGTTCAAATGAACTAAAAAATAGTTCAAATGAGCAATATATTTACTCGTTTGAACTATTGTTCATTTAAACTACTCACATGGTCCCACGTGCAGTAGTTGAAATGATCAATATATAAGTTCAAACGGCAGTAGTCCAAATGAGATAGCATCGTTTTTAGAAAAAATTTTAAATTTTCAGTATTTAAGTTTTATTCATAAAGAATTATGCTATATATATTTTTTAACAAATTGGGTACTTTTTATTTTCATATTTTTAAAAATTAAAATTTTTAAGAAACTAGTATACTGCATGTTTATAATAAAGACCGTCATTTTTTCCAACATTCTTCTTCTCTGTTCTCTTCTCAGTTATCTAACTGTGTTGTATTCTAGGTTGGTAGGTGATAATATCAGTATAATGAAGACAACTTTTTATTTAAGTTTTTTTATTTAACAAGCTTTTCTTTGATAGCTTCTCTTTGTTTCCTTGCTTTTCTGTATCAATGCTTTTTAAAAGCTAGATATAAATCAAATCTGAAATAAAAAATAAATTGTCTTCATTATATTAATATTGCTATAATTGCCTATACCACCATATATACGTAAATGATTTGATAATACTTTGTTTTTACTTTTATTTTTTTAAATTTTTTTTTTTTGACAAAACATATTTTGATTTTTTAAATTATTCCAAATTTGTTACATTTTCTTCTTTGATTTTTCAACAATCTAATGTGTTTTTTTCATATAATCAAGAATTAAACCGAAATTTTTTTATTTGAATTGGGAAGATCGAAATTATGTGGAAACTATATTAAAAAAAAACTTTCTAAAAATATGCGGAAATGGATACTCAAAAAGGAAACCGACCAACAAACTTTTTCTGAAACCCGAAAAGGGACCAAAAATTTGCAGGAAAAGGTAGCAAAAAATAGGAAACCGACCAACAAACTGAAAATAGTTAACTTTTGCCAAACACCGGAAACGAACCTAAAATTTGCGAATCGAAGAAGACAGGAAACTGATAACCAAATTGAGATTTTAAAACTTTTTCTGAAAACCAGAAATGGACCAAAAAAAAAGCGGAAACCAATCCAAAAAAACGGGAAACAAATCAAATGTAAATATAGCGGTAATGGATCAAAAATACTTGGAAAGCCCTCAATACTTTTCAGTTTTTTGAGGGATTTCTGATAATTCTTGAAAAAAGAAGAAAATGGAGCAAAAGTCACTTTTTGGTCCGTTTCCGTGTTGGTCCGTTTCTGTGTTGAGGCGTTTCCATAGCACCCCTATAGCTGGTCAGTTTTCTTATAGAATCACCTCAGAAAATGTTCCGTGCAAAGAAAGCCCCATCATTAGTTTTAATATGATCATGTCTTTCACGGTTGCCATCTTCGCCATCGAAACATATGGAGGTTTAATTGTTTCCTGGGACTTTTTAACATATTGCAATTTTTATATTTTTTATGTAATTTTTGATGTGGAGTCAGAGGCGGCTTATAGGGAGGGGGACGTCCCCCCCTCCCTGGAAAGTTGGGGCGCGAGACAAGAGTGCAAACACCTTAGTCCTTTTTAAGAATAGATTTTAAAAAAATCAAAATCTTGCTAACACACTTTCCATTTTCCGCTCCCATTGAACCAAAGAACAAAAAATGATTACCACTTATAAATTAAAAAGCACAGAGGTAATGATATTTTTCAAGTTTTTCGCCCTGCACATCCAGCATGCTGAATAGAAAATATAATATGACAGAAGTTTTCAAAATCATCAGCCAGTCTGCATCCGGCATACTGAAACATTGTGCATGCCACACAATTTTGACGTAATAAATGGATTCTCTAATTTCTAGTAATAAAACATATGCTACAACTTAAATTTTGTTTTAATAAATATTGAAATTTACAAGATATATAACAATGTGACTTTTCAACACTCAACTACTGTAGAACCGGTCAGAGTGAAACTGGCGGCTTAAAGGGGCTTTTATGTAATCATTCTTAATCCTTACACGATGATGTTACCATGCAAAACAAACCAATTGCAATTAAGTTCTTAGACTTGAAAATCAAATAAATGTTTCTATGTATTGCCTCACAAATTTATAAACCTTCCCCAACAGTTAAAATACAAATTTATTCCACTATACAAAAGCAAAAAATCTAACATTACATTTACAAACTAATAACTATCTATCTCTCTAAATATCATCTTTCTTAATGATATATCTTTCTATCTATATGTATGACTTATCTATGATCTATCTATCTATCTAAATGTTCACAAAGATATCCCTAACTTGAAGTCACGCAACTAACATGCCCACTATTCATGGTATTGAGTTTGTACTTTTAACCTGATAAACAAGTTTCTTAAAACATAACTCAACATAATTTAACTTCTTGTCTGTCAAGGGCGGATACAAGGGGGGTGGGCCCCCTTGAGATATCGAGGCAAAAAAATGTACCCAATTTGATAAAGTAATGTTCTTAATTTGATTAATTGTATGTACCCCTTTTTCAAGTTATTTGAGGGAATTTTAATGATAAATTCAAATACATATCATAGATAAGAAGAAATGCCGAACTAAAATATGAAACAGATAAGTTAAGCAAGAACTAGATCAGGAACATTAAAAGAGGAACAGAAGAACAAACAAATGGGAACTATAACTATTGAGCCAGCTAGAAACACTGAAGCAAGAATAAGCTAGGATTGTCATACATTCACAAAGAACATAAGAACAATAAATAAAATAAATAATTTTAGAAACAATTAAAACATTTTTAAGGAATTAGGAACAAAGATAAACGATTTAGGGTCTAGGGAAACAGTGTTAAAAATAGGAACAAAAATAAGAACATTTCACAAGTTATCTACAAGTTAGGAACAAAAATAAAAGAACTAGGAATTATGAACAAAAATTAAAGAACTAAGAACGTAATTCATAAAACATGAAATAATTATAAAAACATGAAGGCACAGTCTAAAGGTTTGTTTTGTCCTTCTAAGGAAAAAAAGGAAACATACACATGAGCAAAAAACGTAATTCATACCGGTCATAAATTCGGTACAATAGTCAAGAATAGAAACATAAAACATGTTGAGAACAAAAAGAAATTACTAGGAACGTTAAATGCATATAAATAAGAAAGTATATTTGATGGTGTGAGGGGATTGAAAGTGAAAAGTTTTACCACCGGCCCCCCTCCCCCACTTAATGCCCAAAAAAGCTGAAACCAATTCCTTCTATGGCCCTTTCTGTTTTATACTTAAGATTTTAAAGACGCATTTATTTGAAACCAAGATTTACTGAAAACGGAAAAAACATCATCTTCAAAAACCTGTATAAACAGTTTAAATGTTAGTATTAATATAGAAATACATGGTTTTATGGTGTTCTTATAAACATTCCTAATAAATATCTAGAAATACGTACTAAAAGCCATTTATTTGTAAATCTAACTGTCTGTTTTTACATTCAGAATTTATCATCAGGATGCTTTTTTCAAATCATTGATGGGATTTTTAAATTCATGTTAAGGACTGTAGTAAATGCTGTACTCTTAAAACGTCGTCCCAAACTGTATCAGTCCAGGTACAAGACATCCGCTATCAAAGTCACCATCCCAAAGGCTACAATCCCATGAACTATTAACGCCACTGGCACTGAGTGCGATCTCGTTAACTATCAGTGTCAATACAAACACTAGCTGTTAATCCAGATCTATTAATGCCACTCAGGGACACAAGTGTAGCTATCAAACAAGCTATTTATCGAGCTCTAAATGCAACAGGGACACAAGCATAGCTATCAAACAAGCTATTAATAAAGCTCTAAATGTCACACAGGGTCACAAGTGTAGCTATCCAAAAAGCTATTTATCGAGCTCTAAATGCAACACAGGGACACAAGCATAGCTATCAAACAAGCTATTAATCATGCTCTAAATGTCACACAGGGACACAAGCCTAGCTATCAAACAAGCTCTTAATTAATCTGTACCATAAACTGGGGTATTATCTCAACCCGTATGTTTCAACAAGGATGCAATTTCTCTACATTGTAATCAAAGTGGAGTTCTAATTCTTAATAATGTATTTGAGGTTTATATGTTACAAGTTAAGGTTGAGACGTAATTACAATTTCTCCGTCGTTATCTATATCACATGATTCAGACAACCATGTTACATATTTACAATATTACAAGATTAGTGAGGATAGATATAATCGTAGTTAATCTAATCACAATGCATGTTTTAATAATATTACGTAGATCATGTTTTATATATCTATGTATGTTCAGGTTAACAAATATAGGGATTGCTGTATTTGTAACAGATAGTTAATAATGTACAACGTACTGCAGGTTTACAGAATATCATATGACCCGATATTTATTACAGAACCACATAAAATAATTCTAAAAATAAGTAAAATAACTATAGAAAATATGTATATAGCCCTGCAGTCTTCAATTTTAAGCTCTTTTTTGAGAGAGAAAGAGTACAATCTGGGTTAATTATGTATACTCATGTTTCTATGCTGATAAGAGAAGGTTTCTTGTATTAGTAGTGTCTGGCTAGCTTTAATATAACATGTATTCTTTATATATTTTTCTTATTCAACCTGATAGCGGTCTGTTCAATGTCTGGTTCCCTTTCATTTTTTTCGCAGTTTTATAGATGTGTTGATTTTTTTTCCCTCCAACTTGAAATGTGATTATGCAGTGTGCACGGCTGCACGCCCGTTAGTAAATAGTAATTCATATCAAAATTATAATTTTTCAATTTTGCATAAACATTTTAAACAGAAGTACGAATCTGATTCAAAGTTAGTTATCTTTCGATGGCTGAAATATGATAAAGATATAAATTCCCCCCTCCCCCTCCTCCCCCATAGTCCTTGTGTTCCCATGTAAATCCAGGGATGAATCTCATTCCTCGCAGTATCTCCGTGAAGTGAAGACTAAAAATGGATTCCAGATCCGAAGAAAATATGTCGAGTTTGAACCTAGATAGGATTATAAATATTCCCGACGACTACAATGGTTACAAGTGAGTAATGTTTTATAATATATTCATATATTAGTACAACAATTCACATATTAGTACAACAATTCATATATTAGTACAACAATTCACATATTTGTACAACAATTCATATATTAGTACAACAATTCATATATTTGTACAACAATTCATATATTTGTACAACAATTCATATATTAGTACAACAATTCATATATTAGTACAACAATTCATATATTTGTACAACAATTCATATATTAGTAGAAAAATTCATATTTTATTACAACAATTAATAAATTAGTACAACAATTCATACATTACTACAACCATTCATATATTAGCACAACCATTCATATATTTGTACAACAATTCATATGTTTGAACAACAATTCACATATTTGTACAACTATTTATATATTAGCACAACCATTCATATATTTGTACACCAATTTATATATTAGTACAACCATTTATATATTAGTACAACCATTCATATATGAGTACAACCATTCATATATTAGTACAACAATTCATATATTAATACAACAATACAAATAATTAGTAATTAAACAACAAATACGATGTAAAGGTCTTCTCCAAATTACCATTTCATTGGGACACTCTGAATAATTCCTGCAGAATCAAATAGTTTGAATGATGCAAACAATACATATATTTTTTTATGATTGCTTCATTTAATTATGATGTAAGAACGACATTAAAAATTTAAAAAGACTGCACTACATTTTTTCAAAAACAAATTACTTTTAAATGTTCAATACGACATTATTGATATGTTTTACTCCACAAAAAAATAATTTTTATAAAATTAGCTTTTTTATTTTTTAAATCAAGATAGAATTTGGCGTCGTTAAATTAAAATAAAAAACAATAAAAAATAACAATTATAAAATGAATTAAGGACCAGTCTGTTCTGTATCCCTAAACATTAAGAGGATAGTGTNCGAGTAAATAGTCTCAACAGCAATACTTCAGAGGCTAGTGTTCAGGTAAATTCACAAATATTTGTTTAAAGAGCTCTTAACATTATTTTTATTAAAATTAACCTGTAAATGGGGACCTAAACAATAAGACCCAAATTAAGGGTCCTGGCCCCTGGGAACCTAAATTATTGGACCCAAAGAAAGTAATTTGTTCTAGTAGATAACTTTTTTTCAGGTGTCGGTTGACTTTATTCGACTGAAATCCTACGAGAACGACCAGTCAAGTGGAGAAATAAAAATCATAGGAATACCATCAGTTTAATTTTTTAGTTAATGTTTTGGATTTATAGTCATGAACAATGTTCTCCACTAAACATGACGATAAAGAATGGTATTAAATATGATTAAAATTCTTCATTCCATAATCAAAACTGTTAAGAATGTTTATATAATATTCAAGATCTGTTTTTATTATCAGTCTGGTTTAATTCCTGTTTTTTAACTGATGATATGCAATGAATATTTAATATCATATTGTAATCCATAAAGATAAAATCTAGACCTAATCTATCAGAAAACTTGTACTCTCAGTAAAAGCTGTAGAATTCTTGAAATTTAGATTATAATTATTTTATGAATTTTTAAGGATTTAATTAAAAGAACAACTTTAACTGATTGGTATCCATAGGCCTTGACAATCTTGACTCATTGGAAGGTACATTTTTATAGCTTCCTAGAATAGAATTTTTATAAATAGCTAGAAGTAGCTGGACTACTAATTCTCATGCGAGCTAATTCAAATTCAAGAGAAGTGGTTCAACTTAGTCTATATGGTTCAACTTCTTGTCGTTATCTATAAAATGAGGCCCCTGCGCTATTGAACTTGAAATAAAATTAAAATAAGTTAAATGATTATATGAAAAAAAGAAATTCGGTTTGTTGAAGGTTCTGTTTTGTTGAAGGTTCTGTGAAACCTAAAAAGTAAAAATGCTATGATAAGAATCCTCAGGTCCTAGTTCATTATGATGTCAAGATTTTTCTGAGGACTTCTGGTAGAATGTTCTAAATAATTTGCCTTTACATTTTCGAACGAGCTTTCCCGAATATTTAACAAATATACTAATATATTAAACATTTTTTAAAGTTTTAAAATATGTTTTTGTGGCCTTTTTTATTTTCTTTTAAAATTTTATTTTGAATTTTTTTTTTAAATCATGACATTTCACAATGTTGAGACTAAAACAATGGGAACCTCCCATTTTACCCAAATATGTGAACAGTCCCTTAAAGTGTGTTTGTCTAGGTAAGAATGTGCTTATAGTTGAAGATATTATTGATACTGGGAAGACGATGAACAAACTGCTCAACACACTCAGGGAAATATTTCTTAAAGAACAGATTTTTGGTTCAAAATCAATCATGCATCTTGCAGGGGTGTATATTTTCTTGAAAAAAAACACTTCCCAACCTTTTAAAAAATAATTTTTCCCATTGAAAAATATAACCCTCATCCTTTTTTTCCCCAGATCATCAAAAATCCCCCCCCCCCCCTTACACCCCTGGTATCTTAGGTTGTAACATATATCATATACTTACATTTTACATGTATTTACCAAGTCCGCCCCCTGGATTTGATATAGTGAAACCCTTAATAAAAAATACATCGGAAGAATTTATCAAATGTCGTCTTAACAATTTTTCAATGAGTTTTATACTATATTACGTAAATTTCAGTATTAAAAAAATAAATAGCCATGAATATGCGGGAACAGTTTTAAAGAGTTCCATATAATCATTTAATTAAAAAAATAGATATCTGCAACATTCCATTATCAGACATTTGATGAATTCTTTCGATGTATTCGTTATTAAGGGCTTCACTGTAACATTTCATAACTTTTTCTTACAAATTTTTTTTTATTAATGACATTCCATAGCTTCTTGAATAGAATTGAACTGAACTGATTAGCATTGAGTAACGCAAATAAAAGAACCCTGGATAATTTTGAATTTTAATGTTTTAATAATTTGGCACTCGAGTAGATCTACTTCAAAGAAATATTTCTTTATAGTAAATACAAGCCAAAAAGTGTAAAGGTAAGTCAAATTTCTTTTAGAAGAAAGTTAAACAATGAGAACTTAGCGTCCCTCTGTGGGGGGAATCATGGGTCGATAATGTTGGTTAAAAGGCGGTAAAAGATAAAATAGTATTGTCCTCTGTATTATGCCAAAATGTTAAATATTAAATAAATTGGTTATTAGGTAGCATGTTTACTGAGGAAGCGAACCCCTCTGAGTAGTGGGTACGCCCCTGACTATGTTGGGTTCGAAATCCCAGACAAGTTTGTGGTCGGGTACGCCCTGGACTATAATGAATACTTCAGGTATGTTTTTATTATTTAAAAAATATGGAAAAAATTTGGCAATAAGGGCGCTTCTTGCCCCTCACAGTACTAACAATTTTTACTTAAGGAATACTTTTTGTTCTGTAAACAGTAAAAGCCAAGTATAATGAAGTTTTGCAGACATTTCTGTTTTGATTTGTGAATTTTCAAAACTGTAAAGATCTTTAGATTATGAGCGGCCTTAGGCATTCCCCTGGCCATGTCAGGTCCCACCGTAAAAATTGGCTTGACATGTCATGTAAAAATATAGAAGTTAAACAATGTAATAAAGTTGATTTTTTAGATCATTATTTACTTTATGCAACTATTGTGTACTTTATGTAACTATTGTGTACTTTATGTAACTATTGTGTACTTTATGTAACTATTGTGTACTTTATGTAACNTGAACAACCAAACTGTTCCCAGGATCTTCTCTCAAATTGAACAACCAAATTGTTCCCAAGATCTTCTCTCAAATTGAACATCCAAACTGTTCCCAGGATCTTCTCTCAAATTGAAAATCCAAACTGTTCAAATGTAATAATGAACAATGCAATATAATGCAAAAATAAATTATAAATAGGTGTATTTTTAAAAGTTTTATTTTGTGGATTAGAAACAGTTAAATCCTTGAAAAAAATTAAATTTTAATAGATTTCATTTATTGTAGTAGTTTCATGAATACCAAGTCTGAGTTAAAAGTATAATTATTTGGTTCCCTTAAGAATGTTGCAATTATCTACCCTTTCAAATCGAACGATTTGGATAGCGCTGCAGTTAGAATAAGTTACAGGGTATTTCACAAAACATATTAGTTGGTGAAAAGTTTAAAATGTCTTCTTCCATAATTTTTGAAGTTTTTTGATACCAAAAAGAATAATTAAAAAATAGTATATGATAGTCGCTAGTCATAGTTTAGATAAATTGATATCAAATTAAAATATATTTGAGCTTAATATTCTGTAAACTGCATAAAGTAATACAGAGTATCCCACGAAACATAACAGTAGAAAGACGACTTGAAAGTCGTCTTAGATCTTGGAATTTTTTTGTTACATTAAATCGTCAACCTAACTAAAACTCTTTAATATGACGATCAAAAGGATGGATTAAGTCTTCCGAGTCTTCCGCCTAAGAAATATTAATCTTATGGCATATTTAATGATTGGTAAAGAATCGAATGAGTTTACACTTGCAGGGAATCATGAATTTTCCAAAACACATTAAAATTCCATACAATCGTCTCTGAAGTCTCATCCTTTGTGGGTAACCCTGTATTAAAGTTCTACTGAACATGACTAATTAAAAATAACTGAGTATCTTGTTTGATGTGAATCTTTGTTAAATAGTTTTTATTTAAATATTTCTACAACGATTGCTATGTGTAAGTAGAGTTGTTAATCGTTTTTGAGAACGATCGTTCTTTGTTTCGTTTTTCAATCGTTTTCAAAAACTTTAGTTTCGTTTTCGGAAAAAGATCGTTTTTAAAAATAACCCACTCGTTTTTCGATCGTTTTTTATACGATTGTTTTTAAAAAACGATCGTTTTTGAAAAAAAATGTTCATTGACAATTATGTTAAAGATCATTAACGAGGGGTCGTTATTAACGATCATTAACGAAGGGTTGTCGTTAGCGATCGTTAAAGAAACGACGAACCTTATAAAAAAAAACTTTGAAAAAAAATTACATGCAACTTTATTGAATGTCGTCTTACATGAAGTTGAACAGTTGTGGGGGAGCTAAGACTTCTTAATATTTTCTTCAAAAACTACTCAATGATAAGTACAGATGCCCTTCAGGTCGGTTTTCTCTCTTCGCTAACGAAAGGTCGTCGTTAACGATCGTTAACGAAGGTTCGTCGTTAACTATCGTTAACGAAGAGTCGTCGTTAACGAAACGATGAGTTTTAAAAACAATGGTTTTAAAAACGACTATTAAAAAAATTTTATTGACAATTATGTTAACGATCGTTAACAAAGTGTCGTCATTAACGATTCTTAACGGAGGGTTGTCGTTAGCGATCGTTAACGAAACGGCGAACTTTATGAAAAGAAAATTACATGCAACTATTTATAACATTATTTCATTTGTAGAATATGGAATTTCAGCCTGGGGGAGAAACAAAGTCGACCATACTGCGTGCACTACCTTTTTCATTTCGTTCATTGTTCATGAACGACCCATTTCGTGTTTTTTTTCAATCGTTCAAAAATAAAATTGGTTGCGTTCGTTCTCAAAACTATCACTCACTTTTTAAAATTTGTTTGTTTATCAGTAAAAGTAACCTTTTCTTAAAAAGTTTGTTCCGAAAAATCGTTCGTTCAGTAAAAAACGAGTGGGGTTTTTTTCCGATCTTTTCGACAATTTGTTCGTTTAGTTTTTTCAAGTTCATTCAAACGATCTTAAATAATTATTTTTTTTTCGTTTTCAAAAACGATAATTTTTTTATTTCTATGAACGATCCATTTCGTTCGTCCATCGTTTTTATTTTCTCAACGACATCTTTTTTACAACAAATTTCTTTTGTTCACAAAATCTATGCCCATCTCTACTTTCTGCCTGGTAACTGGATATTTCCTTAGGCTAAACTGCCTTATTAAATTAGGAAAATCAGATTTAGGCCTCAGAAATACACTGCATAAAATAAAAGATATAAGAGCAAATTCTTTTTTTCTTTTTTCGCTTTAAAAGTTTTATCTACAAATAAAAAGTAAGAATACTTCAATTGATTTATTAATGGAACAGACTTTGATATTTAAATAGTATAGTCAAAAACTATTTTGTTTCTGATATTTTAGGTAAAAAGGAGTTGAGTTTTTGCCACAAATTCTGATTTTCTAATCTCTATATCTTTGTAACCCAATGTTGTAGACCTTAGATATTTCAAACTATTAATGCTTATAGATAAAATTATCTAAGTTTGAAATATCAAAGGTTTGCACCATAAGATTGCATAGATATTAGAATCAGAAGATTTTAGTTTATGACAAAAACTCAATTCCTTTGATTAAATACTCATTATATATACACCACGCCAACCCTGGTTAGTATAAATCAGTTTGCGGATACCCCCCACCATTATAGTATTCTCCATCCCTCTCCTTTCCACCATCATATCCATCCCTCTCCTTTCCACCATCATATCCATATCCATCTCCTTCATATTCTCCCTTTTGTCTCTCTTTTTTTTCCTTTTTTCCCTTTTTTTTCTTTTTCTCCTTTTTTCGCTTGTTTCCCTTTTCACCATAACCATATTTCTCCAAGTATTCATCTACGTTTCCTTTATGTTCAGCATCATAGATAAGAAGTGTACCATCATCATCTTCATACTCATTATCATCCTCACCATCTTTACAGTCTTTCTCAATTCTAAACTTTGCTGTTATTTCCTTGGAGCAGTCCTTGATAGAAATCAAAAATAAATTTTATTTTATTTGAATTTATATTTTGGCGCTCGCGCTTACCTTGTGGTACGATAGGTACCTGAAAATATATATTAATTATTGTTCACAGTGGGACACGGTCACAAAACTGTGTAATAGAAAGACGACATTTGAGGAGTTTTGAGAGCATTCGATGCTGTTAGAAAGCAAACAGTTTTATCATTATCATCATCAGTTTGAAAATCAACCTAGTAAATGAAATGCTAAATAGCTGTTTCATGTTAGTTGGAATTATGTCTAATATCATTCATTGGATAAAAGAATTGACTTTTTGCCAAAAATTTTAATTTTCTAATCACTATATCTTGTAACCTGATGGCGTAAACATGTGATATTTCCAACTTAGATTATTTGATTTTACAGAATTCAACGTTTTAGAAATCTAATTTTATAACATTGGGTTGCAAAAATAGAGGGATCAGAAAAAAGAAACATTAAAAATTCTATTTCTTGACAGACTTACTTGACGTTTTTTCTTGGTCTTCCAGCCGAACCTTTAAAGCTGCAAATTTTATTGGTTACATCATGAGAGATGAATTCGCAATCTGGGATAGATTTACAAAATCCTTGACAATCATTCACATTGGACCCTTTAAAGGTAGAACCAAGGTCATCGTCTGCAAAACAAAGAATAAATTTTCCAAACGAAATATTTTCGTTTTTAAAATGATTTTCGGAAATTAATTTTGTTTATTTCTTTTTTCCTTTGTATAATTTAAAAATAACTGCATTAAAAACTATTTCAAAAGTGCAGTTGTAGTATTAAAGGCATGGTGCCTGATACTAAACTCTTCACCCCTTTCTCTGAGTTATGGGAACCTGGAAATTGACTAGTGCACTTGGGAATCTTGACCTGGACAGACGTATGAGCTCAAGCTCCGCTGTGTCTGATCAAGGTCTGGGGACCAGCTATCAAACAGATGGATCTTTAATAGGCCTGCCAGAGAACACATGAGGCCAACAGCCTCCACCATCATTATCCACGAATATGCATCCTTGGTTTCCTCAGTCTCATCAAGAGATTTATCTCCTCTAGTTTCTGGAACTGGACTAATTGCTCTCGTACCAGTCCGTCTAAACTAACCCATCAGGATACAGAGGAAACTAGGAAATCCAGATAAAGAGGAGAACTAGGATATCCAGGATATCAGATGATGCCTCATCCTGGACGAGACGATGCTCTTCATGGATCTGTTGTAAATCTGCAAAGTAAGCAGCTGGTAATGCAGTAGGAGCATTTCAGATTGTAAGAACAGCAAACATAGCAGAGACTCCAGAATCAGCTCCGGTAGTAAAGAAAGCAGCTGAGATGTAGTGGAAGCATCTCAGTTCGTAGGAGCAGCCAAAGTAGTGGAGACTCCGGTAACAGCTACAGTAACAGCTACGATTACAGCAGAAGCATCTCACGAACTAGAGGAGCGTAACGAGATATCGAGTTTAGGAAGCTGCCTAGATAAATACTGAACGGAGCAGCTAAACAAGATATCGAGTTGAGGAAGCTGCTTAGATAGATACTGAACTGGAGCAGCTAAAGCAGATATCGAGTTGAGTTGAAGCTGCTCAGATGGATCCTGAACTGGAACAGTTGAACAATATATTTGATAATGAGGAAGCTGCTCAGAGAGATCCTGAATAGGAGCTGCTGGACAACAGTTTCTCAGAATATAATAAGAAGCTGATGGTTCAACAAGATTAATCTTATACAGATGTACTGTGAAAGCTGATAGATCCTATTAATTCATACTCTGAGAGATATCTAATAGAAAGCTAGAGAACATTAATAGGATTTATAAGAAGCAAGTAGGGACCTCAGAGTGAAATATTTGTGCACGCCCCAAACCAGAGGGAACAAATGATTGATCTCGAAATCCCTAAGATTTACACCTGGAATTGTTATTGATTAAACCCAATAATCATTGAAGTGTACAACCTGTGGCAAAATTTTTATTGTGATTTAGTTTCGGGCGATCTTTATTTTAAAAGTTGATGAAGGTTTGACTAAAGATAAATTTATAAAATTGATTTTGAAAAAAAACCTAAATTTACCTTGAAATTTGAGAAGTGTTGCTGTTAATTGAGCACATTTTGCTATACAAGTACAACCCTTGTCCCAGGAGAATTCTATAATATAGTTTTAGCATTAAAAATGGAAATATTTAAATAAAAATAAAAATTGAGAAAGTTCTGCTGTCTCAAATACTGTCTGACTAGGAAAATGGATGACTTGGTTTGAAGCAAGCTTAGGATCCGGATCCGGATCCTAGGAGCAAAATATTAACCAATACTCTACAAAAGAATTTTGCTATCAAAACTAAATCTGAGATGTTATTTGAAATATTTTCTTATCTTTTAAGAAAATTAATTTGAAAATTCTTTTTTTTGTTAAAAAATCAGTAAATTAATTTTGTTTCATGACGAGAAGGATCCTATGTACAACAATAAACATATTTATGTGGAGTAGAACAAACGTTATTCTTGGTAGAGTCTGTTCTTGCACAACATACTTTACGGAGAGTAAAGATAGCTTTATTTTTAAAAGAGCCGACTACCGTAAATAATATGCTTTGCAAAATAGAGCGGGTCTCCATGAGATGGTCCTCGGTGGTGCCAGCGTTAAGCAACGTAGACGTTTTTTTTACAGTGTAAGCATTCGAAGAACAATGAACTTAACTGTATTTTTACAATTTTGAGATGATGCTAGAGGTAAGAGCAGAAGCAAGATAGGAAAACAAATCTGTAATTGCATACGCAGATCACCTAAATTAAACAGAGTGGTCGGCGTTTATATCAATGCAATGAAGACGACTTTTTAATCAAAACTTTATTTCTAACAAGCTTTTTTTCAAATTACAAGTTTATCAGAAAACAAAGAGAAGCTGTTTACTGGCAGCTTCTCTTTGTTTTCATGTTAATATGTAACCCCTCTGTTTGAAAGCTTAGTGTAAAAATTGAAGTAGAAAATCGTCTTCATTGTATTGATATATATGACGACGACTGTAGAAAAAACATGCACGTAATCCTCAAAATAAAAATGTATTTTAGTTAACATCAATTTAGAATATGTTGACAACATTTCAGGTAAATATTCCTTGGCATTTTGAAGCTTTAATTTAGATGGTTTTGTAAAAGGAACAGTAGACATATTTTTTAAGTAACCATTAAACTAATGAGTTACATTCTCGATTTACATCCTTTTAAACATTGTTTGGACAAAAATTTAGAAAATTTAGTTTTCTGTCTGATTTCTTAATTAAGTATGAATTGCGGTTTTCTGCAGCGGAGACAAGAGAAGAAAGTGAACTTTTCGTTTAAGGGTGGAAAAACGACGACATTTTTCTTATTTTTACCCAGATGAATGGTCAAAGAGAAACGATGTGATTTTTGCATGTAACTCTTAAAATTGACGTCACTTTAGATTTTGTCAATATTTTCAAATATTACAATTATAGGATTTAGCATTCCCATATGTTTATAGGGTTTCACTGCAACTCACCATCAGCAATATCAACCATTTTGATTTTATTGTAATTTGTTGTACATACTTCTATGTATTGTTGAATACTAGTTCAAATTACATCATAAATCTTCTAACACACTCAAAACATAATAAAAGCAATTTTGCAAAATCGAAAAAGTAAAATATTGAAAAACCGGATAAACATCAAGCACAATTTAACACTCATTTAAATTTTTTCTTTCTTTCTTCTAAAAAAAACTAGTTTTGATAATTATACAATTTCTCTATTACTTTCTACTCTGTTAAGTTAGTATTTTAAATTTTACAATTTGCATTTGCTCCTTTTTATCATATATATTTTCACCTATCTTTTTCTTTTCTTTACAATTCTTATTTTTGTCTCCAAATCTCCTTTGTATGAACTTTTTCATTTTCTTTTCTTTTCCCCTTCTCATTTTTTCCCAATTTTTTCCCCTTTCCCTTCTACCCTCCTCGACCCCCCAATTCTTCATTCTCCCCTCCAAACTCTTTCCATATAATTTTACTCTCTCAGTTGTATTCCTCTTCCCTCCTCATATCTATTAATCATTATTCTTCCTTCATTCCCCTTCCTTTTGTATGCGAAATAAAACATAAAATATTATATCTATATAATAGAACAGTACATCCCTATTGCCGGCCAAACGAATGGGCTGAATATTTTTTTGGACACTCACGGGTAGCTTTTCGGTGATATAGACTAAAAATTCGATTTTTTTCTTCACATTTTTTTCAACATTTTTTTTCCACGGGCAACGCCGGGCCCATCAGCAAGATGTTTATTTAAAAACATGTGTTATATACTTATTTTAGAAAATACAAGATAATGAACATATGATAAACTCTCATTCTCATCCTCTTCTTATTCTCCTCATTTTCTTCTTCTTCTTAATCTCCTTATTCTCATCCTCTTCTTATTCTCCTCATTCTCCTTCTTTGCATCCTAATTCCCCCTTCCCCCTCCTTATCAATTACACTCCGTATATGATATCAGGGTTACCCACAAAGGATGAAACTTCAGAGACGGCTGTACGTAGTTAATACTGTTCTGATTTAAAATGCAGTGATGGTGATGGACCAAACCTCTGTAGAGTAAAAAAGTAGATGTTAGCTCCACATTTATTGAAAATATATTTCGGTCTGGGTTGACCCTCGTCAGTTCTTGAGATTGTTTCTTCGCAAAGATTAAAAACAAACTGTTCTACTGTTCTAATCTAATTAACACTTGGAATAGTCTAAAGAGTTTCAAGTCGTATTTACAGCATCATTCTTTCTGAGTAGCCCTGTATCAAAGTCGTATTACTGAATTGGATGAACTTAATATTAATGATAGTGTTGATATAAACAACATTATTGATAAACTTATTGAGAATATAATAGATATATTGTGTAATTGCTTTTGTCTGTTTGTGTTCACTGTCGACTGTGTGTGAGTGTGTGTCTGTGTGTTGCCAAATATGGCTTCTTTCCTCTTTCCTCTGTAGTTCTCTTATATCCATAGAACGGAATACAACACCCCGTAAACTTTGTTCATCATGATCTTAGTTTTTCATATACACGTTTAATTTTTTTTATTATTGTTCTTTTTGATTTGCACTTTTTTGCTGTTTTTGTTCCTTGTGTGTTATAATTTCATGTTATTCTTGTTCCTTGTGTATTATAATTTCATGTTATTCTTGTTCTTTGTGTATTATAATTTCATGTTATTCTTGTTCCTTGTGTATTTGTCAACCATTAACATTAAGACCCCCCCCCCCTTTTATGTAATGTCGTCTTCAACTTAAATGCTCCTCTCGGAGACGAGAATCCAAACCAAACAATTTCAGCCCGCTTTTCTTCTTTGTTCTCCGATAACGGAGTATAAACGTTTATCAATTGTGAACCATTTCAAAGTTAAACAAAAAATCCTGATATGCCAAAAACATCCATTAATTTCCAGAGTTTTAGAAAAAATTTTAATAAGTTTTTTGATTATGATCTTTCATTTTTCCTTTTTTTATGCTAAAAGTTATTCATCCAATGTAAAATCAAAATTATTAATAAACAGTAAGCTTATCGTGTTTGAGTAACAAAAGTGAGAATGGTAGAAATAAACAGATTTAAATGTACACGCTTGAAATAAATATGTTTTAGGGGAATGTTCAAAATCGATTGATTAGAGAGCTGGAGCTGTGGTTTTCCTCCCGTCTGTTTCATGTCTGGAAAATAAAGTTATATTTTAGGCTTGTTTTATGATTTTATGTTCTATTTGTAACACCATAGTTTCAGTAGAAGTAAATATTTCCATTTACTGAAAGCGCCGATTGAAGGATTCATAACTCTGATTGGATAAGAAAGATGGATGTTACCGCCATTCTATTTCTATTGGTTCAATACAAACAACAAACACATGCCTGAACCCTGATTGGATCAGGCACTATTGGACTCGGCATACAGGAGTGGTAAACACGCTAAAAATCAAGGATTAGCTTTAAAATTATTCAGTAATGAAAACAAGATCAACATGTAAATTCAGCATGTCTGTTTATTTCTTGGGTTGTTTATATCAAAGAAAAAGGCTGTGTTACGCGACCTAATAGTCTCGTTCTAAACATTCATAAAGTATGAAAAAAATTTTAAGATTTTCGAAATTTTTTAAAATCATAATTTGTTAGTCTAAGGTTTCTTGTTTTACTAAACTTCGGATCAGCGATTACATACTTTTGGAGCTAACGATATCTGAAAAAAAATAGCATGAAAAAAAACGAAAAAAAGGTATTCTGGTACCTCCATACGAACCTTGCCCAGACCATAAAATGATTTTTTTCAAATTTTTTTGGAAATCAATCGACAGCTAGCTAATCTTATCAACAACATTTTTTTATCTCACCCACACTGGCACAAAAATAAAACTTTTTTTTTGTGAATCTGAAATTACGAAAAAAATCTTTTAAAAAATCATCACTTTAATTAAGAATATTTTTACTTTAGAAATGATTTTTTTATTGGTTTATTTTAATGATAGGTTTAAAAAATTAGCAATCTGAAATTACCAAATGATTATTTCAAAAAGAAAATTTAAAAAAATTATTTTGTGGTCTGGGTAAGGCTCGTACGAAGGTACCCACAGCTTTTTTCTTTCTTTTTAATGCTAATTTTATTTTCAGATTGCTCTAGCTCCAAAAGTACTGATTGCAGATACGAAACTTTAGTTAAGAAAGAAACCTCAGACAAACAGCTCATGATTTGAAAATAAAATTTTCGAAAATCTTTTCATTTTTTATACTTTATGTGAATTAATGAAAATGAGACGTGAAAATAAAAAAATTTGAAAAATCCTGGAAATTGATTTATTATATTATTAAAATGCTTTATAAAATTATAAGTACCCCACGGAAAAAATGTCAGATTTTGATATGAAATATGTAAACACTTTTTAAACGTCAACAAATACGGTAACGTCAGACTGTGCATTTATTTATTTTATCAGTGGGAAACACAAAAGTTATAATTCCAGCAAAAATAATTAATGTAATTAAAAAAAAATAAAAATCAATTATAGTACAATTTACAAAGTAAATATAAAAAAATGTTATAAAAGTAAAACAGTTTGTAATCAAATTTCTCAAATCGGTTTAAATTAGTTCAGTTTCTTTCAGTCTAGTATTTTTGTCCGAGTAAAAGCAAGTAAAACAATACAATTTTAAATTATTGTTGACTATTCAAATTTTTGCAAAGTCATTTACTTAATTAATAGATTTAATCTAATTTAATTTTGTTCTTAGCAACCTGGTTGTGTGAACATTTGATATTGTTAACTATTTGATCCATACATATATACCAGAATTCATAGTTTGAGCATCAAAGGTTTCCGACATTGGGTTGTAAAGATATACGGATTGGAAAAAAATGGTGTGAGACTTTGTTGAATTTTAGTCATTTAATCGGAACTTTTGTTTGGATTTTATTAATTTTGAATCCTTGATCTCGATATCCAATGTGAGCACTTTTAAATTTGAGGATAAATGCTTAATCCCTTAAGTTATCCCTGCAGGGTATAACCATCGTGAGATATTGAAACCAAATTTAATTTATCTGTTGAGTAAGATGGATATCAATGGTGGATTCTGAATTTAAGGGTTTCCAACGCAAAGGTGTGTAAATGTATTATAATTTCATGTTATTCTTGTTCTTTGTGTATTATAATTTCATGTTATTCTTGTTCCTTGTGTATTATAATTTCATGTTATTCTTGTTCATTGTGTATTATAATTTCATGTTATTCTTGTTCTTTGTGTATTATAATTTCATGTTATTCTTGTTCTTTCTGTATTATAATTTCATGTTATTCTTGTTCTTTGTGTATTATAATTTCATATTATTCTTGTTCCTTGTGTATTATAATTTCATGTTATTCTTGTACAGATTTGAAAATAACCGTTATCTTCTGCTAATGTTTTAGAAAAAATGAAAGAAATGGCAACGGGCTTTCTATTAGTTGTCTTTTTATTTTCCTTTGGAAGTAAGTTCTTGCTTTATCATTATAAACTACTAGCTGAAGGGCCCGTGAAAAGAGATAAAGAAATTTTGAATTTGTTTAGCCTATAACCTGAGTGTCCAAAGAAAATCAATCGGTCCAGCCGTTTGGCCGGCTACAGACAACATATATATATACGAATGTCTTGTTTTATTATATAGATAATAAAATGGAATTTTTTAATAAATTCAAGACAAAACAGCACTATTTCACAAAGTTTTAACAAAACCTCATAATTAATGACAGAGCGTAACTTAGTTTCGCTTTTAGGGCATTTAACAATTATAAAAGACTTACAGACAGGGTGTCCCACGAAAGAAACAGACAGTTAGTAAATAGTTTTGAACGTCTTCTTCTGCATATTATATTAGATATTAAAGACTGTTTGCAGTTTATCTAGTTAGCAAAATCTTTTACTCAAATATATTACTTTGAAATCAATTTTACTATAAAATAACTGCCATTTTATTTTTAATATTAATGATAATTAATCTCTTTTGTGTCAAAGAAGAAATTATGGAAGAAGACATTTAGAACTATACACCAACTGTCATGTTTCGTGGGACACCCTGTACAATGAACTGATGGTGCAAAAAAACAAATTTTATTCGAGTTTTAAGTTTTAAAATATAGTAATTGATGCATGAGAGCCAGATTAAAACACATGTTAAAACTAGCTTGACGTTTATCATTGAATTCCGAGGGGGGTTTAAATTTCCATTTTTTCTAATAAATGATAAATTTTATCTGCTAAAAAATGTCCGACATTATATGAAAAAAACAAACAATGGACGATTACGAACGACTTGGTTCGATCAGAAAAATAAAAAACTTTCGTTTTTTTAGAAACCAAAGAAAATCAAAAAATTTAGTATATATACTGAACAAACTAATTTTCCGAAAGATTTTTTAACAAACCTTTGAAAAAAACTGACCGATCCTTCAGTCAGAAAACTGACCGATCCTTCAGTCAGAAAACTGACCGATCCTTCAGTCAGAAAACTGACCGATCCTTCAGTCAGAAAACTGACCGATCCTTCAGTCAGAAAACTGACCGATCCTTCAGTCAGAAAACTGACCGATCCTTCAGTCAGAAAACTGACCGATCCTTCAGTCAGAAAACTGACCGATCCTTCAGTCAGAAAACTGACCGATCCTTCAGTCAGAAAACTGACCGATCCTTCAGTCAGAAAACTGACCGATCCTTCAGTCAGAAAACTGACCGATCCTTCAGTCAGAAAACTAATAAAATAAGTGGAAAATGAACACATAATTTTGAGAAGAAACGAAATCAATTTGATTAAACGATTGAAAAAAAACGAACGAAATGGTTCGTTAATAAACGGTGAACGTACGAAAGAAAAAAAAGCCAAACGCGATCATCTCTACATATTAGTACACATTTTAAACATCCGAATTGTTCCAAACAAAACAAAGAAAATTTGTTAAAAAGTACTGAGGCTTTAACAGCGGGTTTCAGAGACACCCTGAACAGTTTGAAAGAGTTATATTTGTTCTTAGATTGTTTATCACCCTGTGAGGAAACTGACGCTTTTAACATAGATGATTTATTGATGGTAAATTCGCACATTTTAATCATTAAAGGGAGCGTTCGCGCATTTTGATTGGTTGCAAATTTTTTTGGTATCCACTCTTTTTCAAAAATTCTTTATTTTGATTTAAAAATTAAAAGTAATGGCTCTAAAGCCCCTAAAGAATGTAAATATATATATTTTACAGTCAATTTTTAGTTCAAAACTAAATTTTTAAGTTTTAAGAAAAACGCCTAAACATGTATAGAAGGTCGGGGGGGGGGGGCTGATCCCTTTTGTTCCAAAAGTGACCTGTACCTGTTTAGATATCCTTGTGGCCGGTTGACCGAAGAATGCCCTGGGTGGAAGGGGAACATTATATTACGGAGAAAGAATCAGCTGAACTTCAGGTTAAACATTTCTTTTAATTGTAGAATTTAAAACTTGCCTCAAATCCTAATTTTCTAATGCCTATATCTTTGAAACCTGATGTCGTAAACCTTTGATATTTAAAACTATTAGTTTTGCTAGATTAAGTGGACCAAATATGAAATATAAAAGGTTTGCATCATCAGGTTGCAAGGATATAGATATTTGAATCCATCATAAAAAAATAGATATTAAACATTTAATAGAATGAAAAAATCGATACATGAAATTAATCTTTATCACTTTTAACACCTTATTGATATTTCTACTCTTCCTCTTACTCTATATAATGGTAACTTTGAGTAAATTACCCAATTTTGCTGGAATAAGCCGAATAATTTAGTTTGAAAATCCGTCTCAAATTTGTAAATCTCGATGGTTTTAAACAAAGACTTTGCTAATTAAAGATAGCGCATCAGAAAATCTACGCAAATTTAACGCATTTTCTCGGGTTACCATAGATAGTAAGTAATGTCGTCTTCTCCAGAAATCCGGTATATATTTACCCTGTTGACGTTTCATAATGTCGTCTTTTGTAATGAATAGATATTTAAAAGGAAAACAAGGAAACCACTTTAGTTTATCTATTATGAAATATTTAATTTGTCCCTAGTTCATAAAAGTACCGTTGTTTTTAGAACCTTTAATGGGTTGGTAACTTGAAATTACAACTATAATCAGTCCCTGAGAACATTTACTTTTGGTTTGAAGTATTAATTGTTTATGAAAAAAAATAACCTACAAGATCTTGGTATTTAAATTTCAACCATACACCAATCAAGACTTATATCTTTTATGCAATTGTAACCTTGTACTTTTTAACAGTAATCAATTATCTCATTTTTTTCATTTAAGAAGGAATTCTCTCTCCACCTAATTTAAATGAATTACTAAATTAACGTCGTAATATTTATTATACTATAAATTACTTTTAAAATCAGAGGGTTTGAAATGTTTTTCACATACTCTTGGATCTTTTACTGTGACATACTCTTGATTTAAATGAAGGGCCTTCAGCCACAATTTTTTTCTTGCTGGAAATCTAAACCGTGATCCTCATACTCTTGGATTGCAGCTCTGTATTATATTTATTTACCGTTTATAATATTGGACATTTCTGGTCCCCTCTTTTCTTCATCGCCTAAAATTCCATTCCATAGTACCTCAGAAAGAATATTTGACGACATCTGAAAATTTCCACAAACAATTATCGGCAATCTTTGATACAAAATAGATGCCTAACTTTATCACAAATTCAGCTATAATTCACCAGATGATCCTCATATCCAACAAATGATTAAATAGATTTTAAAATACAAATTAATATCATTAATTTTAGATAAATTTTAGCACAAAACATTCACAATTGCGTTAAATATCTAAGGTTTTAATGTCGATCGTTCGACTCTCAAGCAACCAAAATAACCAATGACGTCAAAATACAGCTGTACTGGCGTACACAATAGTCGGAGAAATTTCCAACGCCTTGTCTTTATAACTAGCGAAGTCTTTGGTTTTAAAATAGAATGGAAAATATTTACTTGGCACTGTTGATAGCCAAAGAAATTACAAATAAATTTTGAAGAATCAAATGAAGAATTATATTCTCCAGTGCCAGCTACCTGAGTTACCTTCGCATAGTTTGGTAACTGTTACCTACACTCCTAACTATGTAAATAATATGAGATCAGCTGTTGTTAAAAGAAGGTAAATTTTATTTCAATTTCTTTTATATTGTTTTGGTCTTGGTCCCTTGGACTTTTAGTTTTATTTTTAAATTTTTTCTCTTTTCTAAATAAAGGAGAAATTTCAAAATAACGATATTAAATTTTGCACTTTTTTTGAAAATAACTTATAATTTATAACTTCATACTTAACATTTTTCATAAAAAGAAGGAACTAGAGCAGAAACAATTAATCAATAAAATGATTAAAACATACAGAATTGATCTCAACAACATCAAATAGTGAGAGTTCCATTAAAGTTTTAAACTTCTGTTTTGTTCGTTCTTTATAACAAACTCTAATTTGCTAATACCTATATTTTTTCCACCTGATGTTGTAAACCTTTGATATTTCAAATTCAGATTTTTTCATCTAACAGAATTGAAAGTTTGAAATATCTAAGGTCTACGGCATTGGATTACAAAAATATAGAGATTAGAAAATCAGAGTTTGTGACAAAGACTCAATTCCTTTCTGGGACATTTATCACTTGGTTCAACCAGAAGCGTACACAGGGGGCAAGTGGAACACATTCTCGTGGACGCCCATAGGTTCAGAATTAAAACTATTAGATGATTTCCAGGAACAAAACTGAGAATTCTGGTGTAGATTATCAAGAAGATGATGAAGCTTGTACAGTTACAGTTCTTAACACAAACTTTTCTGAGTGAGTCAAAAAACTTTTTCATTTGCTTTGAAATGTATTTTCCTTTACACTATAGACTAAAACTTCACATTTTCCCAATACCTCATTTTCCCTACACTTCATTTTCCCTACACTTTATTTTCCCTAAACCTCATTTTCCCTTTACCTAATTTTCCCTACACTTAATTTGTCCTACTCCTCATTTTCCCTACACCTCATTTTCTATACAGTACCTCATTTTCTCTATACCTCATTTTCCCTATGCTTAATTTTCCCTGCAACTCATTTTTCCTACTCCTCATTTTCTATACACCTCATTTTTCCTATACCTCAATTTCCCTACACCTCATTTTCTATACACCTTATTTGTCCTTTACCTAATTTTCTCTACACTTAATTTTTCCTACTCCTCATTTTCCCTACACCTAATAAATAGCATAATTTGTGTCTAGATCTGTACTGCATAGTGGTTTGGTGCCTAGGTGTGGGGAATCTAGGTCTATACTATACGGTGGTAGATCAGGGGCAAGGTACTGTAAGCTCTAACTTTAGAACCCATTTTCAACTGTTAAATAATGATTTCCGTAATGGCATTTTTAATACTCTTTTATTAGGCTGGGTGTTTTAATATTATTTAATAGACTTTTAATTAGAGATAAAAATGTGACAGCAAATATTCTGATTTATATATATATGTACACTACAGGATGTACTGTGTGGAATAAGAGCCTTCCCAATTAAACTTTTTTGTCTTTGTTCATTGGTAATGTTATTATCAGGATTCATTAAATAATAATCTTAACCAAAGATAATTGAAATCTTTTCTCATAAAAAAAAATATTTAAACTAGCCTGTGAAAGAAAAATAAATAAGAAAATAGAGAAAAGTATCTATTTTGTTCTCACAATAATAAACTTTTTATTTTAGCCTCACCACGGAAATAACTGATCATAAAGGGTAAATAGAAAATTTAACAAAATTAAAAAAACAGACATTTTCTTAATCTTAATTTTCATAATCTTGTTTAGAACATTTCATCTTGGATACTCAGTAGATGGAGACAGGAACATGATTAAATTAGAATTCATTTTATAGATTCCATGTTTAAAATCTATGAAGAAATTACCCCTAAACGTTCCATCAATACAAGATCGTTACATTCCAATATTCTCTAACAAGTTACACACAACCCATGTACATGTGAATATCCCAGGTGGGCCAACAGTCGTTCCTAGTTTAGACTGTACCGTCAATTTACAATTACTAAAGCGGCAGAATGTGTGAAATATAATGTGTTCGGCGAAGAAATTGATTTTTCGCCTCAAACTCAAATTTTCTAATCCTTACATATTTGTATCCTGATGGTGGAAACTTATTTGATCTAACAGAATAAGTTAATGTTTAAAATACGACTTCTGGCCGACCAGATATAAAAATTAGAAAATTAGCTATGATGAGTTTATGTCACGTACCTCTGCCCCTTCAGTAAAAGTAAATTCAACCTATATGAAGAATAAAGTCTGACCGGATCAACCTTGTTGCACCTGCTAGTCCTGTCCATTGAGCTAGGTACAGTACAAACTAGGACCGGAAAGGTCGACCCGGCTCGGAAATTCAAATGTACCACGACTGCCCGTGATGTGTAACCATTTTCTTTCCCCACTTACAAAATTCTCTGAGTTACTTTCTGTTAAAAAAGTTCTACTTTACAAAAATAGAAAAAATTGAAAACACTCTCATGTATTTTATTGTCAACATGAATATATCACGATTCAAATGTTTAAATTGATTTTTTTTCTCACAAAATAAAATATCTTTAATCGGTGAAAACTTAGAAAAATTGTAAGTCTTCATTTCCCTCACAGCTTTCTCAATCAAACAGGGACATACCAGTGTACCATAATTAGGTAATATCAGTAATTCAGAGCTCAGGGCGCCACCTCCAAGGGGCAAACAAAACTGTGGAAAAGGAAGACGACTTTAGTCTATCAAGTTATGGTTTCAATAGGCCAATGAGCATGAAAACCACAAATGTGAAGTGTACACAGACCAATTTGTTTTATTGAGTTGATGTGAAATCTTTAAGTTAAAATATTTGCTTTTTAACAACATTTAATACACACAAAAATTGTTTTAATGTCGTCTTTATATTCCACAGTTTTAATTGTCGCGCTGAAGAAAAATAAAAAATCCTAAAGTTTATTCTGACGTAAATTTTTTTTTTAATCTGTCTTAGATGAGTTGAGTAAATAAAAAATTGGCAATATATCTGTTTTTCATTATCTCTCAATACTCTAGTTCAAAAAAGTTTATCTAAAGGCTCTCTGGAGAAAAGACGATACAAGAAAACAAAAACAATAAATTTGTCTTAAATGAAAACATGTATAAACAATAACAATTGACATTTCCTCCTGAAAAGCTGAAAACAAAACTTAGTTTTAAGGAAAGATACACAAATTCACTATTCAATACTTGTAAACTGTATCTTTACTTATGTTTTAAAAAGAAAGTAAATCAATGTCTATTATCAGTTCAGGAAAATAAAAATGTCCCCGAAAAAAAGAAAAAAAAATCTTAAAATTTATTTTTCAAACATGTATTCGACCAAAAAACAAAAATAGTTTTACTCTTGATAATAACAATACACCGCTAAGCGTGCGACCGTAAAATATTCTGTCGTGTTTCTTTCTGATAATGGTGGTTTAGAACCCATAAAACGATATGAGTACAGTTTTCTTTAAAGCAATAATTTTGTTTATGATCATAGATCTTAAAAATGTCTAATCTTTTTTAAGGAAAGGTTTCATTATGAATTTATTAGCGCGTTTTGAAATAATTTTTGGGCTAAAAATACATAATTTAAATTCAAATTATTACAAAAGAAATTCTAAAAAAATATAAAAATTATAAATAAAATGTTTGGGTCTTTATTTCAAAATTCAACTTTTAAGAATCCTGAAATCGAAACTGTTGTGTGGATCTCGATATCTAATGTGGACACTTTTAAATTTAAAGATCAATACTTGATTTCTCAATAAAATGTATCCTTGTATTGTATAACACAACGGGATATCAATAAGGAAATAAATTAATTAAACTGCGAAAGGTGGAGATCAATGGAGATCAACAAAAGTTCTGACTGAAGTGCCCACATTGGATATCGTGATCAAATGTTCAAGATTAGTACGCAAAAGATCCCACCTCTCGTTTAGTCTTTTGCATGGTCTAAATTATACCAACACTCCAGCATTTTAGGATTCTTAAAAAATCCTTAATCTTACCGTACACAGTACACAGTACACAGTACACAATACACAGTACACAGTACACAGTACACAGTATACACAGTACTCACTATTCCTGGATCGTAATTTTTGTTTTTATTTAGAACTTGTGACCCAGGTATTCTAGAGAATAGAACTGAAGCTGAACAGAATCCAGTAGCTGTCACTAAATCTCTTTTCCTCAAGGTTTGACAGTTTACACAACAATATGGGATTAAACGGGATTTGAAAGCAAAAAAATGCATGACAATAATGACCATATTAGTTAGGGTGAAACCACAGTCTACACGGACTGCTTATCTCGTTTAACAGGGTGGGCTACGTAGGCCTAAGTTGACCCGGCACGACATGCTACGTGTTTACTATAGGTTTTTAGAGTGCCATCTCACGGCCACTTGTTAAACATAATACCCATTCAGGGGTAAGTTTTACAACTTTTAAAAAATAAAATTTTAAACATGAAACATAGCATTGATGAATTCAGTATTTTTTTAAGATTTTGTGTTTTGTATCAAAAGGATCCTTAAATATCCCTGAATACAGATGTTTGCTGATTGGTCGTGTACAGTACTTGTACACAATAGAAAATGCTGTGGAAAATATCGCATATTTAAGCTAATAATCGATCTCTGTAACTCTCTCATTTTTGGGAGGAACAATTTCATCGAAAATGTGAAATCCTTTTTGCACAAGCAAAGCATATTATATAAGCAAAATTTGTTAAAGAAATTTTTTTAAATCATAACGTTAAATCTTGGTTAAAAACAAAAATTAGGCTTCTAGACTGTAAAATGTAATATGCATGATAGCTATATAATAAAACAAGATAATGTAGCAATCTCTAGTCGTTTTTAAAACAATTATTTTAGGTTTATAAGAAACCCAGTTACAAGGAGGATTTTGTTGTAGCAATCTCTAGTCTTGGCATCGGAACAGGAACAGAACAATAGTAAAATTCAAAAAACTAAAAATCCGTTTAATTCTGAAATATAAGAAAAATAGTAAATTTACTATTTCAGCTTCATTTTCAAATGATATTTCCACTCCGTCAAAAAAAGTTTATCCTGCTTTTGATGAAAAGTAAAAATTCAAAGCTAGGAAAGTAAAAAGAAGCGGTTTTAAAAAATTTGAAAAACAGTAATATCTATTTATGTCATTGTAATGGGTATTATTAAGTGCGAATAAGTTTTTGCCGGGATTTTATTTTGACCGAAAACAAACTAGAAAAATTAAAAATCCCGGCAAAAACTTTTTTGCACACATGATACCCATTTCAATAACATTTATAGTTTTATTCAATTTTACTCAAATTATTAAAAAGCAGGTCGATAAAGTTTCTGAATCACCCTGGTGTAGGGTGATTAAATAACTTTATCACCCTACAATGAGAAAAATTAGGTATGAAATTTGAAATTTTAATAGCAGGGTGAAAAAGCTACTTTTTCGCCCTGTTGTAGGGCGATAAAGTCACTTAATCACCCTACAACGGGAAATATTAGGTGTAATATATTCCATCAAAATTGAATAAAATATTTATCTTATTTTCTAATTTTAATTCCACTCCAACAAAAAAAGCTTTCCATACTTTAAACTACAGGAAAAATTCAAAGCAAGCAAAGTAAAAAGAAACGATATCTTTTATTAGAAGTAATATTCAAAATAAAATGTTTCCCTCTTTAAAAAGTTTTAATAACTAATTTAAAGGAGTCTTAATTATTGTTTTGATTCGTAGGAGCTCTGTTGATAACCGCATTTTTTAGCAGGTAAAACGTATATTTTTCCATCGTAATTTTTCCTTACGCCCATTTAACTATTTTTACTCATACAGTGATAACCAGAAAACTCTGGAATAGGAAGACGACTTTTACACTATATTCATGACTTTAAATACTCCAATGAACATAAGACACAGCAATTGCTAATTGTAAACAGACCCATTTCACTTAATAAGTGATTTTATAACTTACTAGTTAAGTTATTTGCTTTGTAACAACATAAAATGTACTTCTGTTATGTCTTAATGTCGTCTTCTACGGAATAATTTAATCAAGCATTTAAGTTAAAAACAATATGTGTGTATATTGCGTAATCTGAAGGCGTTAATTTTTTGTGCGTAAAGATAATTAAAAATAATAATGATTTAACATAAATATGAAAATTCTTTTTAAAAATCCTGATATGCCAAAAACATCCATTAATTTCCAGAGTTTTAGAAAAAATTTTAATAAGTTTTTTGATTATGATCTTTCATTTTTCCTTTTTTTATGCTAAAAGTTATTCATCCAATGTAAAATCAAAATTATTAATAAACAGTAAGCTTATCGTGTTTGAGTAACAAAAGTGAGAATGGTAGAAATAAACAGATTTAAATGTACACGCTTGAAATAAATATGTTTTAGGGGAATGTTCAAAATCGATTGATTAGAGAGCTGGAGCTGTGGTTTTCCTCCCGTCTGTTTCATGTCTGGAAAATAAAGTTATAAATATATTTTAGGCTTGTTTTATAATTTTATGTTCTATTTGTTGAATTTTAGTCATTTAATCGGAACTTTTGTTTGGATTTGATTAATTTTGAACGCTTGATCTCGATATCCAATGTGAGCACTTTTAAATTTGAGGATAAATGCTTAATCCCTTAAGTTATTCCTGCAGGGTATAACCATCGTGAGATATTGAAACCGAATTTAATTTATCTGTTGATCTGGATAAGAGTAAGATGGATATCAATGGTGGATTCTGAATTTAAGGGTTTCCAACGCAAAGGTGTGTAAAAAATCTAGGTACCGAGATTACTCTGCTCTTAGTCTAATTCTAGTCTCACTGACTCTATCTCTAGCCAAAACTCTAGGCTCTAAATCTCTAGCCAAAACTCAAGGCTCT